GGAAAGAATCAATCAGTCAGAGATTGATGAAGGGGTGCTGAGGTCAGGTTTGCAAACACAGAACCATCTGCAGAGTCTCCTGGGTTGGTACCTGCAGCAGAGTAATTTACAAGAGCAGGTGTTTCCTTTTAATCTTTTTTTTTTTTCTTTTTTCTGCTGAAATTGTAACTTTACTGAGAAAATGCCTGCAGTTGGTTATTAATAGCAGACTTCATCTATTGATGCAATTAACTGCTAAGGTTTCTGAAAGTTGCAGTTAGCGTGCTACTTAAAAGCGCAGGTAAGAACAGAGACTGTGATATTAAATGCCTGCATCAATCAAATGTGTTTTCAGAAAGTTACTACACACGAATCTATTAAAGCCCAAAAAGCTGTTTATAAAACAATGATTTTTGTTCAGAAAGGTGACTTAGAAATTATCATAATTGTCATTTATTTCAGTTTATGGCTGTAAACTGAATATATAAAATAATAAATACATTTATGAACAAAGGAATCTTTCTGAAACAGAATAAAAATTCAAGAACGCCAAGTGGAATTTCCCACCTGAATTGAGCTTGGCTGATAGGCACTCAAGTAACACACCTTTGGCTTGGATCCAAAACGCGTAAGCAATAGGTCAGTAGAGAACACCTGGATTCAAATTCATGTTTCTGGATTTCTTGTACCTCAGAGTTCGATCCAGCTCTGCTCAGCCTATATTCCCCAAACATCCAAACAGTCAGAGCATCATTAACTTCAGCTAGTGACAGACACAGGGAATATGCCTAAGACTTCTAACTACACTCACATGGTAGTCTCTATACAGAGATATATTTTCTTTTCCACCTCACAAAGTCAATTTATCCCCTACAAGTTCCTTCTTCTGCTCAGTTACTGAGATGTTTGAAACTGCCTTGTGTTTGCTTAATGTATTTTATCTATGCTATATAGTTTCTAACAGGAGAAAAATAATGTATGGGGAAGTGGTTCTTTGGTTTGAGAGTATAAAAAAATCACGTAACACTTGGAAAGTGCATAAAACTTATCTATATACGACTGAGAACACTGTAACCAGGTGATGTTCTATCTCGCCAACGAGTAAGGGAAAAACAACAATCAAATTTAATTTCTCTCTACAGAAACCAATGAATTTAGAAACACTTAGAATTCAGAGTTATAGTACTCTGCTTTAGATGCTAAGTCTAAATATCAAAGGCTACAACTGACCTCCAGTCAAGTTTTCTCCCATATTCCTACTACTGAGGATGATGATACTTTATGTCCACATTCTTTTGAAGCTTTACAGGTAGAGTTTGCAGCAACTTTTAGGAAATGAAGGAAATAAAGGAAAATGAAGAAGGAATAAGGAAAGAAGGAAATTAAAGAAAGGACACTGACTCAGCAATGACAGAAAATAAAATTCTTTGTTCTGTCCTATTGTATAAGGTTGGTAATGATTTTAAGACAGATCTACCCCTCTGCAAACACAAATTAGTAAAAAGTTCCTGAAGTCAGAATCAAACTGCTTAATTTGGGTATTTCTCAGTTAATAACTGAACTAATTTAATTTTCATTTGATACATCATCGCCCTCAATTTTCTTCTGTTTTCCATTTCTTCTCCTGGGAAGGTTCCCTCTGTTCCTGGCATGTTTCCTCATCACTCTAATGAGTACTGAGACAAAGAAATCTTTCATTTCCCAGAAATAACCATCTCATCTGTTGCTAATTTCCCTTCCTATTCCTTGTGAACACATGGCTCCTGTCTACAGCCTCTTGTTACGCATACAATTGTGAAATGTTCTATTTCAACTTCAAGCAAAATTTTCCAATTTCAGAAAAAGATTTTAATATATGCAGTCATTTTTCACCCTGTTAACACAGAAGAAATGCAAAGGATTTTCATTAATTCTTGAAGAAAACCTGTTAAAAGGCTTATTATATATAAAACTGGTTTTCTTTCTTCCCTTTTATCTGCACTTTCATTTCTATAGCAGCAGATTAACAGTTTCTATTGTTTGATTGATTATTTTCTTATTCTGCTCTCTTCCTCTAAGTCATTTACATTTTCCCATCTCCTACATGAGCTGGGCTTCTGAAGCACACAACAATGAAGTAAAGTGAGCAAGTGTGCTGAAATTTTCATGTCTTGACTCCTGGATCCAGCCAGATCTTTATCCAAAACATGGAGAGCCTTGTAATGATCCTATTTCAGAAATTTGCACAGTAAACACTTGAGTTTTACACTGATCATTTAAATCATACTATATAGTCAGTCCAACAAAAATATTTCTTAAATTAAATTGTGTTTAATAAACGTGAAAGACCTAACAACTTGCATAAAAAAGAAGGAAGTCTGCAATGATGGCATCTCCATGAAATTCTTGCAGCCAAATCTTGTAGAGTTACAACAATCTACAAATCGCACTGCTTAAGCTGAGGACGACTTTTCTTCCCAGAAACCCATCTTTAAGTAATGTCTCCTTTCTGCTTTTTCCATGCTAAATTTGGCTCCTAGAAATTAATTTAAATTTCAGATTTCCTCTTTCTGATGCAAAACTCACATAACTTTGAGTCTCAGTACTTATTTCAAGTGCAATGAACATTACACTTGGCACCATGGTAAGCTAGCAACTATCCAGTAGCATCCAGAATCTTGTTCAAAGTTAAGTCAGTTAAGTTTCATTAATGGTATATCACTAGCAAAACTACTGGGTAAAAACTTTGAATAAAAATGTGAAACAAGACCACGCAAATTCTAACTAATTTTGTTTGAAGTTCACACAATATACTTTTTCCATTAGGAAAGTCAGACAAAATTTGTTCCAACAATTTTGTTTACCGTTGGCTGAAAATGTGCAATGTGCTAAAATAAGCCTTAGTGAGTAATTAGGATCACCAGGTCAACTGTACAATATTTCATTACAATAAAGTTGCTACTTAGAAAATCAATGCTCTTTTTCTTGCCACTCTCAGCAGCCTTGCTTGCTTTGCATATGGCTGCATGTTTAATTAGCGATCCTTCTGTAAGTGTCTGCAATTAGCACAATGATGATTAATAAAATAACTCCTTTAAAGCTCAATTTAGGCAGCAGAACTGCACAATAAGGTATAATTAATTCATCATTAATTAATCATGGCTGATTAACTAATCTGTTGATTAAAAACACATTACGGCATAGTACCCCACCTGAGCTCTGGTGATTTTTCTATCCAGAACTGAAAGAGACTAAGTACTAGTAAACCATTAAAAAAAATGCATCAAGCAGCAAGTTTATTCATTTAGTCAGGAAATTTAGATAGCAGAGCTATATAAAATTTTCCAGCCTTTGTTCATTATTAGCACCCCCTGGGAAAATAAAAAAAAAAAAAAGAAAGAAAGAAAAAAAGTCCTATTTGTTAAATGTCAACAGATGAACAATAATTGCTGTTTTAGATCATTTATATTCTTAAAGAGGTGGGTTGTTGTTTTTTTTGAAAGCATCTCAGACAATGGACTAGACTCACACTTTTATAAACCAGACTAAAGGAGCAAATGCAGCAAAACAAGCTTGCAGGAGGGCTCAAGGAGGTCTAAGGCACTAAATGGAAAGCGGTGATTTGCTTTATGAGAAGACAAGATCAAGGTGACTGCAAAACATGCCACTGCGACACTGCTGTTGAGCTGTCTCCATTGCAGTGCCTTGCCTACAATGACTCCACGTTTATAAATTGTATATCAGGTCCCTGAACTTCAGCAAGCCTGAATACAGGAAAACATGCATTTCAATGTGTTGATTTGCTTGCCACCTAGTTCTCAAGCTTTGTGGCATTTAAATCACATACTCAATAAGTTCTGTGCAGTCACAATAACAAGGAACTTATATTTTAAATAAATCCTAGGATTTTCACACTGTCATTTGCCCCCAGATACTTGGGCTTCAGTGAGTTAAAAATGTTGAAATTCAGAATATCTGGAACTACAATAATTTGTCACAACTAAGTTCTTCAGCATTTATAAAGGACTGTATATAAGATTCAGCTGTTCCCACACTGTGACAATGCCTTTGAATTCACAACACATTATTTTCAGGCACTGGAATGGGCTGCCCAGGAAGGTGGTGGAGTCACCACCCCTGGAGGTGTTCAAGGAACGTTTGGATTTTGTGTGGAGGGACATGGTTTAGTGAGCACTACTGGTGGTAGGTGGATGGTTGGCCTGGATGATCTTGAAGGTCTTTTCCAACGGTGGTGATTCTGTGATTATTTTCAGCAATGCCCAGCTACAGGACAAGGGGCAATGGGCACAAACTGGAACGTGGGAAGCTCCATCTGAACACAACAAAGATCTTCGTTACTATGAGGATGACAGAGCACTGGAACAGACTGCCCAGAGAGGTACTCCAGAGTGGAGTCTCCTTCTGTGGAGATAATCAAAACCCACATGGATGCTTTCCTGTGCAACTCACTGTAGGGAACCTGCTTCAGCAGGGGATTGGACTCTATTAAGGAATTAATTCAAAGTTTAGGAAAAAGGTGATCTGAAAGGGAAAACAGAACTTCAGCTGGAGTACCTCAGTTACTTCAGGTATTCCTAATAAACCCAGAAAAAGATAAGAACAATAAAGGAAAAAGTGACATCTGAAGCAGCATGCTCACTGAAGAATATTAGAGAACAAACTTTTAATTTATGAGTAAATCCTCAGTCCTTCAAAAGTAAGTGACATTACAGTGACCAATAACATATTCTTTTTTTCCATTTTTTAACAGTCTTCAGGGTATCACTATGCCAATCTCTTAAATTTGTTATAAATGTGAAGTGTTGAATAAGCAGAACTGTAAGTCACAGCAATTACATTTACCCATGAAAAGTACTATTCATAAAAAAGAGCTCTATTTCCAAACCTTTTGTATTTTCTTCATGTTTTAATTCAAGTAAATTAATGAACATAAGAATCATTTCAGTATGTGGCAGAGAAAGGAAGCTGACTATAGTCAGTTTGATTGTTTTGTCACATAAAGAAGTTTATAAATCAATCCAGAAGGTCAAGTGACTTTTAATGTGGAAACTGGGAAAAAAAGAAAAAAAGAAAAAACGAATTATTTAAGAGCAGAAAAATAAGAGGGACGTCCTTGGACAATTTCTGAGATCAGTTTACAGATGAAATCCTGACATGAAAGTGAAGGAAACGATACCAGGGATCTTCAAGATTAAAAGTGAACGTTTTCAAGCAGTTTTTAAAAATGGACAATAAGTAATCAAAGATTTTAGAGGACAGTGGTAGTGCTCTGCCTAAAACTACGATATAATCAACACAATATGAGTAATATAAAGGTGTGATACATGATACTGTTAGTGTCAGTTTCTTCATAAAGTCAAGTTTCCTTTCAATACAATAGCAAATTGCCCTGCAATTTCAACTCTTCCATTATCATGAAGTGAAATCTTCAACTCTCCTCCACGTCGAGAACATTGAAAAGCTGAATGGAAACAAGAATAACATGAATCCGGAGTTAAAACTTTAGTATTACAAATCAATTTTTATAAAATGCATGAAAATTCAGGCTAACACGGCCTCTGTATCTCAGACTAGAATTTGACATAAGAGTCTGAACAAAGTGGTATATAATAGCAAGTAATGAAGGATGCTGGTTTACTCTGTTGTAATGAACTGAGTCTTCTTTGCACATCTAAAAATGTCTTAATGTACCCACTCATGAGATAGACCACTTCCCTAGACAAGAAGGAATAATATTATTATCTGCTTAAGAAGAAAGAATCACTTCACAGGTAGTGAACTAGAACTAGACACTAGCTTCTAAGAACACATTTGGTTAATGAGTAAGTAAAACTGAAGTAACCAGCAGAAAAAGTCTGCAAAGAAATATAGATGCTGCTTCAACTGTCACAAACTGAGACAAAAGTCTTACACAGACAGGAACAAATTTATAACTTCACATAATCCTGAATATATCATTTAATACACTTGGATAAAGTTTAATGATAAAAGCTTTCCACTGATAAATAATCATAAATCTAATTTTTTTATGAAACTGTTTTTAGTCATACTCAGTTGAGAAGATAATGCTTGGCATGCTGACTCTGCAGTCTTGTTTCAGTAAGTCCAATGTTAGTTGCAGAACTACTTGGTCAGAGAGCGGCCTGGTTAGGATGGCATCTAGCAAAGGTTAGAGTTTCATAATGTTTTGCTTTTGTAAAAGGCTGCAAATGGATGACAATTCACTGATGTTTAGTCTCTCTACCTAATGAAATTCCAGCTGCAAGAGTTGTTCAAAGCTAAAGGGAACATAATATCCTCATGATATCCTAATTTATAACAGGGTAGAGATTGTATTTGGATCCTGGCAGTGTACAAGATCTCTAACAGATGGTACATATACTGTACACTGTCAAGTCATTTCTTAGCCACGGTTGACAAGAAAGCTCTTATTTATGCAAGGATATCAGATTCTTAGACTAAGCAAAGGGTCCCAAAACAGTGCAAATAGGAGCTATATGACTGCTATGGATGCTTCCTGGTCTTTTCTCTTTAATGAATTACCAGTTATTGATTTTAACAAGAGCAGTATGTATGTACGAACAAATGCTTTCAAATATAATATTTTGGGCTGTTAATGGTCCATGCCACACTAAATTTGGTGAACTACTATTGCCAAGTACAGATACACAGCTGAATTTTCCCACTTCTTTGAGATAGCAGATCTAAAGAAAAGAGCTAAATTATTTCTAATCTTAGAGGTTGGTTAGATTTTGTTTTTCCTTCTTTAAATGTGGAATCAGTGCTGTCTCTTTCATGGCAGACTTACTAATTTGATTTTGCTCCATTTTGTTTTATTTAAAAAAAACCCTGCAAAATATAAGAGGAAAAAAGTCACAAAGATCTTGCTCAAAACTGTATGTAAATAATATTTGATCATCTCCTTCTCTTACACAGAAACACTGATATTCCACACTGTGACTGAAAGAAAGCAGACCTGCATGGAGTATTTCATTAATCAGATGATTTCATTTAATAGCAATGTCTTCAGAGAGATTCAAGCATCTCTGATGCGTTTTGGATCATGCAGCTATTTCAGTATGTTATGATCTGTAAAAATTATCTACAGTAATTCAATTCAGTGCCCTAAATTCCTTTGTGATTACCCTCAGATAGAGGAAAGTTCAATAGTATGTACAAAAAACTTCAGCACACTTACGTGTAATGTAGCATTCAGAAGGGGGCCAGTGACCTCACACCAACATCAACCCATTGTTTTGAGGAGCCTCTTATTAGACTAGGCCCATTTACATGAGCATTGGTTACAGAATTTGAGAACTACTGGATTTTATTTGTGATGTCATGATAATGACAAATCAGGAACAAGTGCTATTCTTGAAAAAATACCTGGTTTTAGAAATCATCATTGTTTTGACCAAATCTCTAATGCCTACAAAAGGATTGAGGAAAAAGTCCTTGTACTTAGGCTTTACTCAATATGACTTAATGAAATTAAGACCTCTGAGACTTATATTCCAAAAAATAAGGTCAACAAATCTTCTGATCGATGGAGTGAAACACCTCTCCTTTGGCAGAAATGCTACACTTGTGCATAAATCTGACGCGGCCCAGTGAAAAAGAACACATACCAAAAAAAAAAAGCAGTGAATTCTATTGGTCTGTCTTTCCAGTTAATCTCATCATTTAAAAACTGTGATTATAACTGTGCAAAACTCTCTACTTCGTGGATCTTTGAATGAGCAAAAACCTAACAAATGTAGATTTATTCTATCTCATGAAGCAATTTCTTCTCAAAAAAACAGAAGAGACTAAAACGTTAAGAGACAGGACCTTAAGTTGAAAGAAATTCTGGCAAATGTTTTGAGAAGGTGATCTTACAGTTCAAGTAAGATCTGCTTCCTCCCACTCCTCATAAACCCCAGAAGCAATCACAGAAATTAGAGGCAACAACAAAAGCAATTATTTTCACACATTAATTTAGTTAACTGGATTAAAGAGGTCCAGAAAGATCCCCCCAGCTTTACCAAGCATTAAAAATTGCCCTGAATTAAAACTCTTCTCTTTAAATAAATTTGGAAAATCTTTCACAATACGTTTGGGTGTACTAAATTTCTTATGCATGTTTATAAATGACATAAAGATACACAAAATGACATAAAAGATACACAAAAAACTGTATACAGATACAACTGCTAAATAGTGTAAATACTACATTCACTGGCAATTATGAAAGTCTAAAATATCTGACATTATAAATTATCTTTATTAAAAACATATTTAATACTATTTCAGGAATTCCTCAAATGAAGAGAAGGATAAAGACTGATAGCAAACTCCCATTTGACACATCTTAAATATATATCTCCAGGAAAAATGAGTAAAGTATCTCACCTTGTAAAAAGACTGGAAAATTCTCTTTGTACTTATTGAGAGTTTGTTGTTTGGCAGTTTGGTTTAATAAAGATAGGAAGAGAACCCAGACACAGGATATTATGTCTGATACTTCAGCAGAGATGTAGCTGACCTCCTCCTAGAGGTCACAATACCCAGAAAGAGCTGATAACAAATATAATGTTCCTCTTTCTTTTTGTATACAATTTCATATCTCATCCATTTTGGAACTAAAAGACTTTCAATTTTAAATGGAAGAAAACCTTTATTCTTGCAATAAAAGATACTGCAGAGACACTGCAGAAGTTTCTAAGTAGTCAAGAGATGCCTTAACTTATCAACCTTCAATGATATATTGACTGCCACCTTCTCTAAATAGCCACATCACAAATGGAATTCACTCCAGTAATACCTGATAACCTTCCATGCACACGGAAGGAAAAGATTTTTCTGAACTTACCAAAAAAACCACAGGTTGATAAGAGGCCATATGAATTTGTTCCCTTTAAATCTGTTTTGTATCATTTCTACCACATATATTAAAAAAAAAACAAACAAACAAGGCATTGATGGCAGCAGTCATAAAAGATATTTGTCTATTACGGGAAAAATAGCCCATGACAGCTAGCCTGAGAACAAGGCTTGTGAGTCAGGAGCACCCCTAGAAAGGCACAGCTGGCTTTTCCGAGGCTGAATGCCTCAGAACTGTGGACATGCTGGAAAAGTCATCCATAATGGAAAAATAAGGAACTGTAATTGCAAATTATTGTCAGGAGAAACGGGACAACAACCTGGGACAGTAGGAATCAGCAACTGGTATTGGCCACTTTAGCCAAAAGAAAAAAAAGCGGGGAGAAAGCAAAATGTCAGAGAGGATAGGAAGCTATACTGGCTGTCTCAGGGGAAAAAAACAAGCAGCGCTGTACACCCTAAACTGTACGCTCATGTGTCTGTCATATTAAAATCTCTTATTTTCTAAGCAAAACAGAGCCTCTTTGAGTAGATCCTGTGTTGCACAAACTTTTCCTTTTCCTAGAGAATTTCCTAAACAAACCAAATCTTTGCTGGGAATGACCCCAAAAGCCCATGACACAAAGGTGATCACCTTCGAAGTGAGACTGTCTATTATTTATGTGATCCTACTTGTGGGGGGCAAACTCTTCTTAATTAGACCCTTCTGAGGTCTATTTGACACCCCCTTCTGGGAATGGTTTGATAGCACTCACTACCAGTAACATTTTAAATATATGTGCACATGTAGGCAATTAATTGTAAGCATTATTGTTATTTTACTAGTGAGATATTTTTAATAACCTGCAATACCTCAGTATGTATTTGCTGCTACGTTATTTGCTGCTGCTATATTCATCTTATATATATATATATATATATATACACAAAATGCATCTTATATATATATATATATATATATATATATATATATATACACAAAATGCATGCACTTTCTTTCTTGTTAAGAAATCATAGTAGGTTGATATACAGTTGCATTACTAATCATAGGTATAATCTTCGGAGGTGATTTGTACTCAAGTAGAAAAATATAGGAAATAAAACTAATGTGTCCTTGTATGTAATAAAATTCTGCAAACCCACTGTTGTGATCTCCATCCACCTACTTGCCACGTAGCCCTTTAAACTGTGATAGGTATATTTGCACAAAAAATGAAAAAATCCTACCTTGTGGCAATATGGGACTTTTTTCTTTTTTGCTAAAAATATTAGAGGAGATGGTTGCTGTATCAGTTGCCTTTGCAGCTTAAGACAGTTTCTCAAAAGAGGTAAAACATGGTACACGTAAAATACATGAAAACATAAAAGTAAAAAATGCCACCTAAAATGCAGACAGAATTTCTGTCCAATTATTTAAAGAAACACTGTCTACAAGTGGGATGAAAGTTTCTGATCTCCACACTACCATCTGGAGGTGCTCAAGACCTGGTTGGATGGGGCCTTGGGCAACCTGCTCTAGTATCAAGTCTGGAGGTGGATGGCCCTGCCTATGGCAGGAGGTTGGAACCTGATCAGCCCTTGAATCTCTGTAAGAGACTATTCTGTTAACTTCTGTGTCTCAAAGCTTGCTGGGGACACAGATGGACTTGTTCAAGTCCAGACCAAGGATTGTGAAATCCTTTGTCTGAAGGACACAGATGAACAAGTTCAGGCAAGTCCTGGGCAAAGGTTGTGAGATCCTTTGTCTGGGGGATGCAGATGGACAAGGCCAGGGGCTACCAGAGCGAGATGAACTGCAGCTAAATAGCTGTGAAGTGCTCCTTTGTGTGGACTTATCTCAGGATGATGGCCATCTCAGGAGGTACTCAATGACTCTTGCTCGAGGCCCATCCTTGTCATGTAGGCAGGAGAACAAGGAGGATAAAAGAGGAACTGAAAACCATGAGGATAGGGTTTCTGACAACAGATTCCTCATGACGAACGCAGGATTTCTGACAACAGATTCCTCATGAAGAACGGGAGGGTTTTCTGACAAGAGATCCCTCATGAAGAAGAACATGAGAGAGAGGAATTCCGGAAGATAGAGGGATTCCTGAAGATTGAGGTGATTCCTGCATACTGTTGAACTCTCCTGAGCCTGCTGCCTGACCACTGTTGCTGCTTCAAGAATTGGCTCCTCGACTTCCTCGTCTACCTGCCTGCTGCCCAAGGCCGGCCACGCTGCTGCTCCCCGTCTTCTGCTGCGTTCTGCCTGGGACCTTCGAACACCGTGCAACGGGACCGCTGCTGGATCCTGCTGGTGACTATCCCCGCTTTATGCAACTCCTGCTTCTTTTCCATCTTTTCTATCGCCCTCCTTCCCTTCCCCGTCTCCCTGATTAGGTCTTAGTAATAAACTGGATGCAACAACATATGAACCGTTGTTTCTTAATCTCACACCGGGTATACAGATATTAAAGAACCTCATCTCCCTCCTATAAATTGGAGCGAGACAGTCTCTTCCAACCCAAGCCATTCTATGATTCTATAATCTCAAGACAAACAGCCAGTCCATCTGGATACAAGGACAAAGACAGTTTCTCCTCTTCTTTTCAAAAAGTATGGTGTTTCCCTCCCCCCCTCCCCCCCCAGCTTCATGGAAATCATAACAGATCTGTATGATACAAATGCAAGCAAGAGATCTTCAGAACAGATTGCAAAACTTTTCCTTCAACTCGTGATGGAAAAGTCTCAGTCACTGTGGATTACCACATCAAGCTATGGAGGTCTAGCAGATCCTTTAAAGAGCTTATCAGTGTCAAGGAAAGTTTGGTCTCAGATTCATTTGGCTAAATATAGGAAAGCTTATATTCAAGGTAGCTGTTTGTTTTGAAAGACGTTTCCTTTAGGGAACAAGGAATCCTATTAGATTAAGGATCCAACCTTTGTTTTAGACTAAGTGACAAGAATCATGTCTTTGAGAACAAGCGCATAAAAGAACAGTATTTCCAACACCGACATCACCACCCTGCAATGGAAGCAGAGGGTTAGGAGGGTATTTCACACTGCTTCTGTTCTTCCACTTTCTAGCAAAGCAACAGAAACATGAGAAGTGAAGAAGCACTCAATGTCTCTCTATCTAGCCTTGTCAAGTGTAACTGTTTCTCCCAGGTTTTCTTCCCCCATCACGGTCTTCATTATTTGCTTAGCAGTAAACACGTGATCCACTAAGCCTAACTTTTCCAAAGACAAAACAGTTATCAATAATAAATCTGCTCTTTCACTTAAGATCCGGTCATCTCAAGAGTAGAACTGCAAATCATACTCATTACAAGCAAATGAAGTTGCCAGTGCCTATGCACCTTGTCTCCATTTAAATATTTAATATTAGATACATTTAAATTGATTGCTTTTTGTTCTATCCTTTCCTGCTACTATGTAAAACATCATCATATGAGAAAACTAATCTTAGGACAGAAGAAAAAACTGTACCATAAAGCATGTCCTTTAAGTACAATCTGAATGCACGTCTCCTCTTATCTAGCTATAAAAATACGAGCCACTTTAAATCATGAGTTTCCTAAAGAACTCATTGAAGGAATTAATCTCAAGTAACTAATTTCCCTTTAAAAATCCCTAATTCAGATAGAAGCATTTTTTTCATCTCAACACATACATGAACGGAAAGGAAAACTCAGTGATCCCTATGGGTCCCATCCAACACAGGAAATTCTATGATTCCATGCTTCTACATTGTACTGAGACGTATACAGATTGTGAATGAGAATAGTGACTGATACCTCTTCCCAATAAGAAAAAGCAAGCCCTAAGGAGCAAGAAGCAAAGTACAATTCAGTCAAAACACACAGCGAACATCAACTAAAGTTCACCAAGCTTCAGTCATGATGAAAGTTCATGACAGTAAAAATACAAAAATTGAGATCAAAAACCAACCACAGAGTTATGATCCACACACTTCAGATTCCCTACAGACTTAATATGTCACACTGGGAGGTAGGAAAGAAAGCAGTTTCTTAAGGATTACCTCTCAGAAAAAATTTTACTATTGAAGTTGAGAAACAGATAAGGAGTTATTACAATATTTTGGATTGTAGTTTTTTTTGTTTTTTTTTTTTTTTTTAAATAGATGAACAGCTTTGCAAGAAAACAGTTCCTCTTACCAAGCATTTCTTTCTTTCCCAGCTGCTCTGACCAGTAGCTGCTTAGAACAGCATGGGCAGATCCTTAAAAGAAATTGGAATGAAAAGCACAGAATTAGAATCACTATTTTATAGAGCGATTACATTCAAAATGCAAATGCCATACACAGATTGAATGTTCCATGTCTGTACTTGAGAGTAAAAATGCCTAGATTTTGCAAAACAAACAGAACTTAAGGCTTCTGCATTTCATTTGTTTACAATCAAGCAGTATTACTTCCTCATCTTCCAACTTCAATGGAAATTTTGCCTAAGGGCTTTGTAATTAGCCTCAGGAATAACAGGTAGTATAACACTTGAGCCAAAGTACTGACTTCTGGTAAACAAGTGAGCTTTCTTAAGAACTGAATCTCAAAACATTAAAATTCAATAACATCATTTATCTAGGCAGTATGTTATTCGATGGAACAAATAGCAAAAACCACAAGAAAAAAAACTGAAATGATTTTTGGATATTTTTTAAGACTAGGAACAGGTGGATAGAAGTCACTATGGAAAAAGAAAAAACTCCCTCCCTTAACAGTTTTCACAAACAAAACTCTGTTCTTTTTTCCCCCAGTCTTGAATCACTGTTAAGTATCAGGACGTAGCTCAAGATCTTTTAAGATCTTGCTACAGCCTCTGGAAAACCAAGTTACTGTATCCCAATGGGCAGATACCTTAAAACCCCAGAATGACTTCTCAGATTCATGTTGTGTCAGTGCAAATCAGCTGCTATGAGCAAAGATTCTGCTGGAAACCCAGATGTGAAGCTAGTGTAATTATCAGGGCTCAGGGACACCAGGATATATAATGATTAAGGAATTATTGCAAAAGAAAGATAATACAAAGTCATAACACTGTTAAAAGTATAAATCAGCTATACAGTGAAGAGGTTGTTTCTATAAAAGAACTTACAGATGCAAGACAAGCAACTATGAGCTATAAGGAATCTAGAATCTCAGAGGTTCAGCAAACATCTAGCTTTTCCTATGTAACAATAATAAACAAGCTCTGGGATCAGATACATCTACCACTCTGCCTCCTGGCTGTAACAGAAAAGTAGGACTGGAAGTTAAAAAAAAAAAACAAAACTGAAACATGTGGTTTATATTTCCTTATAAAACCTTCTGCTAGAAGTGTACTATAACCACCACCACTCCAATAAAGAAGTTTTCTATTCAGCAAAATATGTAATGAAACTTTCTGATCAAGTTCTCAGCGGACTAATTATTAATCTGTGATCACTTTATGCCTAAGCAAATAACATTACTTTATTCTGCAGCAAACATCACAGAACATAAAAGAAACTAGAAGTTCTGCCTCTAAAAGTATAACTAGCTAAGTTTGTATTACTCATAGGGCTCAGAACATCCACAATAAAGAGTCCTTGAACTAGAGGAGATCTCAGCTGAAGCACCACAAATACAAAACAATGACAGAAGTGTATGTGAACTTCTTCTATAGTACTTGCTGAATTGCACAATAGTCTTTTGCTTTTCTCTAATTGTCATGGTTTTGTGATTTTTGGCTTTCGGTATTCCACATCATAACATCATGTGGGGCACTGGGACTTTAACTGTCAATGCTCAAGTCCTGGGTACCTGCCCTGAAGAGAAGAAGAACTACATTCCCCAGGGGACTTTGCGGTCAGGGAGAGGAGGTTTAACTCCTGGCAAGGTCACCTGATGTGCTTTTTCTCGCCTGCCCTTCGTGGTGGGCGCTGCTCCCGTCTCCCTGCTGCTCAACTGGACTGCGCATCTCACCTCAGCGTTGTGGTGAGGCCTATCCACCTTTCGGACATTCTCTCTCTCATTATATTTGATTTATTAGCTTCAATTCTGATTATATTGTATTATAGTGTGTTATCTTGCATTCCGATAATATACTTAGTAAATTAGTTTGTTTCTCCTCAGATCGGTGCTGCTGTTTTTAATTATTTTGGGGCCCCGTTTCCTTTTTTTCCAGAGGTGCAGATCTGCAGATCCCTCCGCCCCGCTCGTCACGGAACTGGGCTGAACCAGCCCGTAAACCACTGACATCTAATTGTAATATGTCGGGAAAAAGTAATGAAAAAAGAGGCAGGAATATCTGGCCTGATGACAGCAGGAAGCTGAATTTTTCTGAACGAGTTTGGAATCAATAACGAAAGTTTTCCTGCTGTCCACAGAAAACAGTACTCCATTAGAAGAGATACTTTGAAGTATAAAGGCACATGAATCAAATTCAATAAACACCTTTAAACTGAAACAAGACTAAGCCATTTCCCATGCATGTGCTCACACACCTGTAACAGGGTCTTCCAGCACGCCGTACCAAGGTGCAAAATATCTGGAGTAAAAATCATGGCCTTTGTCTTTTCCATTGGGCTTTCCCTTCAGAGTGAGTATGAGTCCTTTCACTTTCCCAGTTTTTTCAGCTGACAGAAAACGTTGTGCGCCCACTTGTAGTTCTTCCAGCACAGACCTTGAATTTAATTACAGAATTTGAATATTCCATATTCTTCATTTAACATGAGTTTAAGTTTTGAAAAGCATCAAAAAACCTTAAGATTGTCATCCCTGCACTCTCCGAACAGCCACAGTAAAGTGCTGGAGTAGAAAGATCCCTAGCATTGTCCTCTCAACATCATTTTATATGACCGCCCAGAACGCATCCTACACTCCTAGCAAGCAGAGGAAAAAAGATCAAACCATGCATTTCTTATCTACTTATGAAAACAGAGTGCCCAAGAATATAACCTCCAAAAATGTATACTTTCATGTCAACCTTTTCATTACTGAAAAAAATATTTCATCACTACAGAACGCAAAAAATAAGCATTCCACCTACTTTCTGAATGAGCAAGCAGCTTATATTACTTAGATCAGAGAATTCTAAAGCACTCTACAATTCTGTAAGTTGCAGATATTTCCCTAAAAAATGAAATTTTGGAAGAGTAAAAATACTGAGTACTCTGCTAAGAATATTTCTTATTTGCCCACTAGTTCAATCTATAGCCAGTAGTTAGGCCAAACTTTAATTGCAATTTGATCTAATTAAAGAATTCAGGTCTGGACAACATGTATACAAATTGTTAAGTATAACAATGAAATTCAGGTCTCCGAGATTAACAAACGCTGCGAAATGACTTGAATTGGAATTTCCTCTGTAAAGCTACTTATGATGCTGTAAAGTATGTGTAAGCAGATTAGTCAGCCATAGGGGCATAGGAACCACAGCATTCTGTCTGCACGTCCTGTCTCACTAAGTGCACCTGTACAGCTATGCAACGAATACTTCTTCAGCTGAGAACCAAGACCCCTAATTTTCTGTTCCACTTTTGACTCAGGAGATTGGCAAAAAGACACCACCACCAAAACTGTTTCCTAAGCCTCCCTTTCTTGAGGACAGTTTTCCGACTAATCTTGTTTAGCGTTGCCGATTCCGTAAGCTCACAGGGAAGATTAAAGAATTATTTAACATAGGAATTTAAATTTGTGTTTTCAATCTCCACCTGTTTCAAAAATAGATAAGTGAGCCATGTGTGGTTAAACAAAAAGAATCAATTTCTGCACACTTGCTCCAAAAAAGTACCAGATACCTTTCATAAGCATCACTGAGACGGACCAGGAGTTTCTTTGTGTCAGGAGAATAACGGATATCTTGAACAATCATGTCACCAGTGGCAGCCTGGTACAAAAAAAAAGAAACAAAAAGAAACGGTGTCACTAGAAAATAAAATATTTACTTACAATTTTCCTACAATAACAAAATCCCTGCTAGAATAGGGCTTATGCAACATCCTTCATGCAACTTTCCAGTACATACAAGCAAGAAAAGCAAATGCACTGTGTGCATGAATGGATACGATAGGTGCTAAGAGCTCTGTGTATGTCAACCTGGAATGAAATCCAGGGACTAAGAACAGGGCAAGGACACTAGATTGTCCTCATAAGCATACAGCAGGCCGAAAGTGCCCATGAAATGTGACATTCTAGCCAGCAGAAAGCAAAGTTTAGCTACAGCATATTGAAGAATTCCATCTCCTGAACTACAGGATTCAGAGTTTTCAGTTTTGTCAGCCTCCGTGCACAGTGCCTCAAGCAAAGTGAATTTACCACTTTCCAGCCATTCTAATATACAGTTATAGCTCATTTAAATGCATTTCTAAGAGAACATCTCTCATTATATTTACCTTTATTAATTCTTCTACTTCCCGAAGTTCCTGAAGGAAAAAAAGAAAACTGTAGATCATAGAGTACTTACATGTATCTATCTACCCAAGTAAAAATAGGTAGATATGTATCCAAACACACATACAAGCAAATAGATGCTTTCCTTGAAAACCCTTTACAAACAAAACCCTGCCTCACCTGTGGGTAGGTTGAGTAAAGTGGTAAGTCCAGCACAATATGGTCTTTCTCTTGTCTTGTTTTCAATTCCCCACTCAGAGTCACAAAAGTAAGAACTGAGTTTGGGTTTTCTAGAGAGAGAGAGAACATTATCAAACATATCAGTATGTATCAAACATAAGAGCTTGAAATAAATTATTATAGCTCATAAAGTAGCCCAGTATGTTCAAAAAAGTTATGCAGCTAAAAATCCAATAAGTTCAGTAAACTTGTACTGCAAGGCAAAATTCCCAGATGACATTTGCATGTTCAGCATTGTTCCTTAGGAAGAGAGATAGTGGGGCATCAGAACAAGTGTAGACATCAGACTGCAGCCTGACAGCACTTGGTAAAAGAAAATACCTAAGGTATCTCCACACTTGTTCTCTAAATGTTCTGAAGACTTAATTGTACAAAAAGAGAGATTTTCTTAATTAGAAACAATTTTTATAGCATCTACTATAATAACAAATAGCTTGTAAGCCTACTTTTTATGTGAAATAAAACAGCAGCTGAGGCAAGTGTAGCATGACCACAGAGAGGAACTTCATTGGCCGGGGTGAACCATCGGAGTCCAAAGCGGGAACCTTAAAAATAAAGTTTGTTTTTAAGTGGAATTGTCTTTTCTTTTCAATTTATTCCTACAGTTTCTAAGGATTAATGGCATTTCAGTCAATCGAAACGCATGTTATAATCAGTCTTGGGCTCAAAGGCTCCTACAACTGCCTTTGAATGATTTTTGGAATACCTACTGCTCTCGAGACCCCTCTATAACTGCGGTCTACTCCTAATAGAGCAAAGCTACTTTGTTGCAAGATCAAAGAGTCAACGCGGCAGAGAAATCGCTCTGCTTAGAAGTGCAAAAACAAACCTTTATCCCCCTAAGTGAAACAAGGCGTGCCAAGGGTTTTGCTGGCGTACTGGAATCTGCGCCGCAGCTAAGTCAGTCATGAATTATTTTGCTTAAGCCACCAGTTGGTACTCACAAAAGACTAAAGTATGGTAAGCCTTCATTTTACTAAAAATCCTATTGCTATCAGTTGTTTAAAAAATAAAATCTAAGAGCAAGTATGCTAATAAAGTACCTTAACCTAAAATGAAAAGCCAGGCTATAGCCATGGCTGCAAAGTGAGCAGGTTCAGCAAGCTGATTCGGCTGAAAACTAATCCACCAAGTGATTCTGGATGGGCTCTAGGTACAATTTCACGTTCCTTGGTTTTGGAAACCTGTTTGTTCCAGTACCACCTCTACAGAATCACAGAGACTTTGTGGCAATCTCCAGTAAGTGATGATTTCCTGAACAGCCAAGCCAGATTCCCTTTGCAATCTTTCGCATACAGAATAAGCTTTGTGTCTCTCTTCTCCTGCTTGTACAAGAGAATTATCTCAGGAGATAATTAGCAGGAATAGAAGTATTAACAGAAGGACCTTTGCATAGCATTTTCAGGAGACTTTCTGCACACAACCTGCTTATTTTGCAAAAGGCACTAAAACAAACGATCAGATTTATGAATGTTTGTGTACTGTAAAATGAATTGGAAAAGCTCAACAAATGAATCCATGTGCAAAAGGCTTAATAATATTATTAGAAGATGCATTACAACTCCACAATTTTGCTTTTGCCATCTTATACATTAGCATCATTCTTTATAAATGCACCCATTGTTTCTTCCTGCTTTTTCTAAGAGACTGCAGGGCAAACAAAGCCACTCACTTTTGGTAAAGTCATCCGTAGGGTGCAGTTTTCTGATGAAGGCAGTTTCGGAAAGGTTCATTTCTGTCGCAATTCTTTGGTGCAAATTTTCATCCAAGTCCTAACAATGAGATGACAAACCCATTTAATGACAACTCATAAAAATACAGAATCAAACTGTCTTTCAAATCAATTCAGTCATCTCATTTTCCTGTGATAATGAAGCAGATTCATTTTTAGTTCAAAACATTGTGAGGGCAAAAATACAAAAAACCCTTGCAGCACAAAATAGGCTAACTAGTTCAATCATTGTGGTATGTGGCCATTACCCATACCTCGTCTGTAAGCCCACAGATCCTTGAACGACATGGAGGATAGTTACAAAATGCTAAAGTCAGTCCTTCCAAAAGGACTTTCTTTCCAGAAGGACCTTCCAGAATCTTTCATTTTGATTGAAGGCACAACAAGAAGTCATTGCTAACAACCTAAAAATAGCTACAGCTCTCCTTTTTAACTCTGAGAAACCCATGTTAGCAGGGGGAATGTCGCAATGGCCAGGACAATAACTAAGGCATTTTATCAGCACTTACTGCTGTACCCTCGACATTACTCCTTGAGCAACAGGAACAATGTGCTAAGTCAGTAAAAGTTGGAACAAGAAACTGAAGGAAGAAACATGCTGGAGCTCACTGCATGATAGAAGGGCACACGAGGTATAGCAACAGTATAAGTTGTTACTTCACTCTTGTTCCTTTCCCCCCGGTCACACAGACCAGCCAGGTTCAAGGGTCTGGTCTGTAAAGAACTAACATACAAATGAAAATGTACTAAGCGGACCTGGTCAAGTTCAACCTTGGTCAGATCGAACTTTGCCCTGCTAACTTGACTTTTTTCCCTTAATAACCTTAATCCTTTGAACCAACGATCCCCTGCTATTGCTGCAGAACAGTTAGTGATAGGCATAGCAGATCGATCCTTCCATGGTGAAACCTACACGATGAGACAACACCCCAACCTTTCACAGTCTTTGCTTTAACCCAGGAAATTAGCGCTTGCTACAGAAATACCAAATTAGAACAAAGACCAGCCAACATTTTGCTGAAAATAATAGAATTTTATTGAAATACTGCCATCATGTGGCACTTCTCGGGAAGGGTTTGTATCATCACTCGTGTACTCCAGTTCTTAAAAAGCAGCTGCTGATGCTTGAGAAGGAACAGAGAACAGAAGCAGCCCTAGCTGCTCCATATGTTCTTGGAGCTCAGAACAAAATTAATTAGAACTTCAGCTTTAACGACCCTGAAGCCTCTAGCCTGCAGAGGAAACGTTAAAACCTCAACATGCCATAGGCAACACGTAAGTCACCTTCTGAACGTATTAACATAACAAGTTTACAAGTTTAAGGTCAGTGCATTCAGAGAGGGGGGTGTTTAGATTTTAGATAGCCAAAAACAGCTCTGAAGCGAGATGTTGTGTGCCAGCTTGGCTGCCTTTGTAAGCATGCTCCATCGTATGAGATCTGTGAGGGTTCAGGAAGAGCTGAGCAGGATTCAGAGGGCCAATGCGAACCACTAACAGACTGCTACATTTACCTTCCCATTCCCATCAAGTGATACCACACAAATAAGACAAGACATGTACGTTTCTAATCTGGTCTAACAGCTGGTTCTGGGGAGCGGTGAACCAATCAGCACCATCTGCTCAGCACACCTTCACGAGAATGACTGGCACCGTGCAGCCTGCAGCAAAACCTGCCTGTCACAGGGACACAAGGCGACTCAGTCACAGGGCTGTACGCGTCTCTCCTCTCTTTCACAGGAAACAAAAAAAAAAAAACACCTCGTTGGGAAGGAAAAAGGAGAACCCGTTATAACGGCTAAGCCGCTCCGCCCGGGGCAGCGGCACAAGCACGCCTTGCCTAGAGGCAGCAGCCCCAGGCAACCTCGCAACAACGGCAGCCACCGCTGCAGCCCCTCATTGAAGATCCGTCCGTTTCTTTTTCAGACTTACATTTTCGAGCAGACAAACTGCCGCGGGGTTTCCACAAAACGGCCGGTTTGTAAAGGCATCAACCGTGAAAACGGGGACCTGCATCGCCGCAGCGCTCCCGGCCTTTGCCCGCTGCTCCCCACGGCGCCCTGCCCGCAGCGCGGCCCCGTTTATGCGCCCCGACGGCGGGAGGAGCCGCTCGTCACTTCCCAGCCTCCTCCCGCGGCCTGCCGCCGGCCCTGCGCGCACCTCCCTACTCCGTCCCTCGCTCCTCAGTGCCCCAACGGGCCTTTCCGCCGCCTCGCCCCAAGGCGATTCCGTAGGCGGGAGCTGGTGAGGTTCCCCAGGCCGATCTTAACATCGCACGGCTTTGCCGCGGCCGTAAAACTGAGGGGAAGAGAGCGGCCGGGCTTTCCCATCCCCTTTCCCGAGCCGACTCCGGGAGCTGGAGCGAGCAGCGCCCGACGGGCCACAGGCATCTGCGCGTGAGGCACCGCCAGCGTGAGGAGACCGGGGGGCACTCGCTGCGGCTGTTTGCTACGGGTATGTGTTTGCTACGGGTATCTGTCCGGTGCAGGTATCTGACTGCTGCGAGTATGTTTGCTGCGGGTATCTGACTGCTGCGGGTATTTGCTGCATCTCGCGCTGCCGCCGGGCGAACGGCTTGGCGCCAAGAGAGCGCAGCGCGCGAACGGAGCGCGCGTGCGCCTGGTGACGCTCAGCCGCGCTCGTGAGAAGAGGGAGGAGGCGCCGTTCGCCGGCTCTTGTTAGCAAAGCGCGCATGCTCCGCTGTCGTCCGGGCGGGCGGAGGTGTGCGGCGGTGCTATCGCGATAGCCGCGCGGTCGGGACGCCATCCTGCCAGTGGCGGTTGCGTAGGCTGCTGGTAGCCGGCCGCTCGGAAGCGAGGGGCTTCCTTCCTGGCAGCAGCTCCCGCTGGGACGCGTCGAGGAGCGTACGAAGGTCTCCCGGTGAGCGCGGGGTGAGAAAGGGAGAGAGGGCGGCACCGGGCCGCGGCGAGCCCCTCCGGGCCGCTCGCAGGGTGGGCGCGGAAGCGGCCCGGGGCCCGGCCGTGTGCGCGGCGCGGCCCGCGGGGGGGCGGCGTGGCGCCGCGGGTGGGGGAGGGGCGGTGCGGCGCGGCTCTCGGAGCCTCGCTCCCGACCGGCCGCCATTTTGAGCGCCGGAGCCGAACGCGGCCGCCGACCCGACGAGCCTCGGCGGCGTACCGCTTGCCGCACCCCGAAGCCGGGGTTGGGCAGGAGGGAGCTCGGCAGTCGTTCCGAAGTGGAGAGGTGGCGGTGGGGTGCTTGGCGGGGACGGCGTCGGTGGCGGTAGGCGGTGGGGGGGGTGGCTCGGGGAGGCGCGGTAAATGGCGGCGGCGCGGGGTGGGGGGGAGGGAGGGAGAGAGCTCCCCGCCCCCAGTCCGAGACGGGCCGCGCTGCGCGCCCGCTTTGGTTCGGGATTAGCGGCCGTGGTTCCGGAAGGGGAAAAGGAGCGGGAGCGCTGCTGGCCGGGCCGTGATGGCAGACAAAGGAGAGGCGGCGCTGCGCGGTTGCGGCCCCGCTGCCGGCACGCCGCGAGAGACAAAAGGTTACGGGCCGGGAGCGCGCCGAGAGGCTGGTGCGCGCCGCCGATGCCCGCGCTGCTGCACTGCCGGGGACCGCCGCGTCCACGTGCTTATGTACGAGCGAGTGAACTTGAAATATCCAGGGAATTGAACGAAATATCCATAATGCTGCCGAACGCCGCTTTGTTAATGAAAACCTACCCGATTTGTTGTGTTTTTATGTCTCAATGTTTTGTTTTTTCCTTTTGGTAGCGTTTGATTTAGACAAAAATGGACTGGAGTGGAAAGCACAACGGGCCCACCGATACAACCAACGATGGCACGGTGGTGCGGCTCCGAGGGCTGCCCTTCGGCTGTAGCAAGGAAGAGATCGTTCAGTTTTTCCAAGGTATCTCTAGTATAGTCAAAGCATAAAGACTGTGTGAAAGATAAGTCGATGCTTTGCAAGCCTGTAACTTGTAATGGCCGTTAGCGGGGTGGAGGGGGGATTGCTTTGACATAAATTGCCTTGAGTAAGGTGTATGCCCTGTTCAAGTAACTGTAGACATAGCAAAGTTGAATACGTGTCTTAATTTAGTGAAGGTGGTGAATGTCTTGTGATTATAACCTGTACGTTAGTTTGGAGCGGTTAAATTGCTTGATTGGTAGCTTTGTTTTCTTCATGTAACCTAGGTGGGTGTATGTTCACATAGTTAAAACAAAAAACAAGTATGGCTAAATCCATAAATGTTTAATGAAAGATCGTTGGCTTGTATTGTTGGGTGATGGGGGAACTTAAGAGCTTTTTTTCGTTGTTATTGTTTAGATGCTTTAAGTATTTTCTACAGATGGGAATGTTTCAGCCTTTAACACTGTTCCCCTTGATGGGGTTATTTGTCCTTGGGTTAAAGGGTTGGAAATCGTGCCAAATGGGATAACATTGACGCTGGACTACCAGGGGAGAAGCACAGGGGAGGCCTTCGTGCAGTTTGCTTCAAAGGAGATAGCAGAAAATGCTCTGGGGAAACACAAGGAAAGAATAGGGCACAGGTGGGGATGGAGAGTTTGGGATGGTGTTAAATGGTTATTTTTGGGGGTTGTGGGACAGTAATGCTTTTGGGGGGCTGGGGACTATTATATGGAATGGGGTATTTTAAAGAATTTTTATAACATCCTAAATTAACTGGGGAAATACGGTAGATTTGGGGGGCGGGGGAGACAGTATTGCTCTGTGTAGATTGCTAAACTTAGAATGTTTCAGTCGTTTTTCACGTAGGGTAATTTGTGATAAGTGCTGCCATAGCCAGACATTGTTTTTCAACAGTATGTTTCTCATACTGAAAAGACATGTTTTATACTTAATTTCTACAGCTAGAATTTTCATGTTGTAATTTTTTGCCGTTGTAAAGTTTTACTTTGATACAATTAAGATTCTTAACAGTTTTGAGGAGGAACTTAAGTTCTATGGTATCTGTAGTCATTTTTATCACATTGTACGTTTAGTTATTTTTCTACTGTTCAGACAGCTTATACGTGTATTCTTATTTCTACCTTGAAAATCCTCTCTTATTTAGATACATTGAAATCTTCAAAAGTAGTAAGAGTGAAATCAGAGGATTCTCTGACATGCCGAGAAGAATGATGGGACAACAACGGCCTGGACCATATGATAGACCATTAGGAGGAAGAGGGGGTTATTATGGAGCTGGGCGTGGAAGTATGTATGACAGAATGCGTCGAGGAGGTGGTGGATATGACGGTGGTATGTTTATCTAATGATAGAGGTTCTGTTGTCAGTTTCATGTTTCTGACGTCTTTGTCAAGAAATAAAGAAATGGCAGTAGCTTCCTGTTAGGTTTGACATGCCTCTTCAAAAGGAATTTTTTACTTGTAATTTTTTGGGGAAGAAAAAATGCAGCTTAGTATTTAAGAGTAATGAATGTTACTAGAAAATTGTTTTTTCAGCAGAACTGGATATCTCAGTTGGATGTGTCAGTTCAGAAATGAGTGTTTAATGCTTTGCAGTGGCACTTCCAGGTGCCCAGAGACTGAAAAATTGATTCTTGTGTATCACTTTGTGATTTCTCAGTAGTAACATAATTGCTCTTTTCCTTCTGTCCACTGTATAGGATATGGTGGCTTTGATGATTATGGTGGTTATAATAACTATGGCTATGGAAATGATGGCTATGATGACCGAATGAGAGATGGGAGAGGTAAAAAATATATATTTTTTTTTTAACAGTAAAACATAACATTCCCAAGGCATACATAGTTCTGTTTTTATTTTCTTCATATTATTTTGTAAAGGAAGATGATTGTGTTTGTTTTGTTGAGGTGGGGGTGCTTCTCTTTTTCTAATTTATTTAAAAAAAAAAAAAAAAAGGCGGGTGTGTGTCGTTCTTCACTTATCTTTCTTTCCTAGGCATGGGAGGACATGGCTATGGAGCTGGTGATGCAGGTTCAGGTTTCCATGGTGGCGGTCATTTTGTTCACATGAGAGGACTGCCTTTTCGAGCAACAGAGAATGATATTGCAAATGTAAGTAAAATAGCAAAATCAGGCTTTCTGATACCAAGAATCTCTATTCCAAACTTGCTTATGGCTCTCCAGTGAGTGATAGCTCTAATACATAGTAACTGAAGTCTTAAGTTACTTACGCAGGTTCTACAATACTTAATACATACTTAGTGAGGTTTTTAAAGGTAATGCCTGTGGTAAGCTTACTGAAAAGCCACCCAAATTACATTTAACCCCTGTATGCTTTTTTATTTCCAGAAATAAGAGACAGATGTTGAAATTTGTATCTTCACAAGACTCAAAAGTTTAAGCTTAACTGAAGATATTAATGTTATTTTGTAGAAGACTGATAGTAGATGTGATTATGGTTTTCACATTTGTATGTGGCCATGAGCCTTGTTTTAGGGAGACAAGGTGGGAAACCTGTAGGGTGCTGTGTTTGTTCAGAGTGGAAGGCTCACATTTACCCATAAGAGCTCAGTTAAAGGACTTCTACAGAATTTCAGGAATGATGGTCTACTGTATCTTTGTAATAACTGCTGTAGGAAGAGAAATTGACAGCTTTTTCTTCTTAGTTCCATAATTGTCCTTATTTTGAGAACCTTGTTTGGCTTTTTTTTCCTCAAAACGAAGTAATGATCTTCCCTTTCTAGGGTGGCATCATATTAGAGCGTGTTTCTTAAAGAGAGGTGTGTAGACAAGTATTTTTGTTTGCATCTCTTTTTAAAGAGAGCTTGTCAAGCTCTGTAGCTGGAGTTCTTCCATTTGTATAACAGAAACCTCTAAGTAATACCGTAGAGACAAGTAATTACATTTGTGTGACAGGATGAGAGAAAATTAATACAGTGCTTTGCAAACTACTGGGGCGCCAGAAGACATACCTGGCTTGAATTCTAAATTCATTTGATTATTTTTTTTTTCTTTGTTTTTATTCTTAGTTCTTCTCACCATTGAATCCTATAAGAGTTCACATCGATATTGGGGCAGATGGAAGAGCCACAGGCGAGGCAGATGTGGAATTTGTAACACATGAGGATGCGGTAGCTGCTATGTCCAAGGATAAAAATCACATGCGTGAGTGTCGTGTTCAATTGGGGGTTTAACTGAGTTGATTTCAGTAGGGTGTAAATCAGTATGAGGATTCAAACTGAAGTTACAGTGCTTTAAATATGGTACTAATAATGGACTTTTTGTTGATGATCAGAACAAGTAGATCATCTCAAATTCTTTTCTCCAACTACTGTATGCAGGGTAAACTTTTTTTTTTACTGTGTTTTTTGAGAGTAGATTTTATTTCCTACAGAACATCGATATATTGAGCTGTTTCTGAATTCAACTGCTGGAGGTGGCTCTGGAATGGGAGGCTATGGCAGAGATGGAATGGGTATGTATCATTTCCAAATACAGCTTGTTTTGCAAAACGTGATGGAGTTGCAAGATTATAACAGTGCACCTTCTGCTTTTCAGATCAAGGTTATGGCTCTGTTGGTAGAATGGGAATGGGTAATAATTACAGCGGCGGTTATGGAACTCCTGATGGCTTGGGGGGCTACAGTAAGTAGATATTCTGTCCTAATGATTGTGTTATGATTGTCTTTGTGATTGTGTTACTGTGTCTGTGCGTATGTGATTTGGAAGGGTGGGTTTTGTGGGCTGGGAGAAAGGAAAGGGGGTGGCTTAAATAGTAAATCACTGGGGCACTTATTCATAATTTGGCTATTGCAACAAATATTTTTTTAGAAAAATAGTGCTGAAGTATATCTTAAGCTGATGCTGAACAGTTTTTTATTACCCATCACGTTTTTTTCTCTTTTTAAGGTATGTATACGTGACCTTGTGTCAATTGTTTGCAGGTCGTGGCAGTGGAAATAGTGGAGGATACTATGGGCAAGGCAATATGGGTGGAGGAGGATGGCGTGGGATGTATTGAAGGATAGCCTTGCTTCTACAAAATACCCTGGAAGAAACAACAGTCTCTGGTCTACTAGACTTTCTTACAAAATTTTAATTTCTTTTGTATTTTAAGAACTTTATAATGACTGAAGGAATGTGTTTTCACAATATTATTTGGTAAGCAAGAGCTTGTGATGGGAAAATCTGTTTTCTGTAGGTTTTATTTGTTGCATACTCTGACTTTAAATAAATTTTTATATTCAAACCACTGATGTTGATACTTTTTATACTAGTTACTCCTAAGGATGTATTACATATTCGAGAATACAGTTGGTTTGAGATGTTGTACTATGGTTCAATAAAGGTGGTTGTACTGTAACTCCTATGAACACTGAGTTCTATGTACTCTTGGTGTAGTAAATGAGTTTGATACATTCTCTTGTTTAAGGGGAAAAGGGTAGATAGTAGGTAAGCTTACTTGGTAGCAATCCTTCCTAAATCTTTTTGATAAGTTGTATGTAGTAATTTCTCAACATAGCATTAAGCTCAAGCTGTGGAGGAGTCATAGATCTGGCTTTCCTCCCTGTAGTATCAGCAATGCTCTGCAAATGGCGCGATTGCACAAATGCATACTTCCCAAGTTCTGTCATCCACACGCCCAGGCTACAACTGTTTGCTTCCATGCTTTGCTGTAGAACTCTTAGATACTCATTTCACACGTTGATTAGCAACAGCGTTGCAAGTTAAAACACTAGCAAAACAGTCAAATGCGAGCAAGTTGAAAGGTACCTTTGCTTTTTTTCTTCACAAACTGCTTTGGGAAGACAGTTATTTGAAGCAAGCTAGAATTTTCCTAACACTTGTGTTTCAACACCATTGAGCTTTCTTTTTTTCCCTGCACATAGCTGGTTTGTCTGTATTTGTTCAAAACATGGCAACCATTATATGAATGAATTTGGTAGAAGCCAGGCATCTCTGAAAATAACTGTAAGCCCAATATTTGTTAAGTGACACAACCCCAACCACACTGAAAAAAAGTTTTTGTGCATTTGTGACATGTAAGATGTGTAAGAAAAAATGTTTGAAGACACTTACCATACCTGATGTGTAATAAGGTATTTATTCTTCTGAGCCAGTGTGATCTCCCAAATTAACTGCTTTGTCCTCAGCGCCTCCCTTAAAATGTCAAATGTAATCTTGGGTATTGAAAGTCTGTCACCTGTTTTGCTAGTACTGTGTTATATATGTAATAAATGTCTTGCTCTGGGAGATAGTAGAATGGAGTTTATTTCACTAGAGAGTGTGCTTGTGTCAATGTTATCGGAAGTAATAGCAGCAGGGCTCAGCTGCAGTAGGAAATATTCCAAATACTCAAGTATGGGGCAGAGGAAGGGGAGGAAAGATGACTTGAAGTCAGCCTAGCAGTGATGGTGCAGGAAAAAATACCTTTACATCTGACAGATTTCTCTATCAGCTACCTAAATAGGTATCACAGCTCTAATAATTCCTCAAGTATACTTTGCATTCTGTTTTCTGAGAAAGAACACTTACTATTGATTTAAGACTGACATACCTGAGAACAAAGTAGTTGCACTTCAAGCTATTTGGCATCACCAAGTAAGTTAGCAGAAGTCATTCTGAATGACTCTTGAATAACACAATTCTGTTCTGGAGAGTGAATGCCTTATGCTTGTCCAATCCCTGTTAACACATCATCCTGTAACGAGAGCAGCATACAGTATGGACCCTTTCAAGGAACTTCAGCAGTGTTTTGAGAAGAAAAAAAATGATTTTTGAAGTTCATACTTGTATGTAAAGCTGAAATACTTGCTGCAAAGTGTAGTTCTTTTAAAGTGGTTGGTTATCCACTGAGAAGTACTGACTGGTTCCTGCAATCTCTTGTGTGATGAATGCTGGCCATCAGATGGATTTTCCTTCGCTGTCAGGAGGAGGTCCAAGTATGTTCACCACCTTTGCAAGAAGGTGAGACAGCCAGTATAATCAGTGGGGGGGAAAGGGGGAGAAAGGAGAAGCATACTTTCTATTTGTTAATGCCCTTATATTGTTAAGTTAGAAGGACATTACCCAAAGGTTGCTCTGATGCTGTGGGAACAATTACAATTTCTTTTGAGGTACACAGTAGGTACACCGCATACCTTCATATGCTTGGCTCAAGGAATATTATTTAGAATCACAAGATAATCTGTCACAGAACAAAGTTTTATAGAAAGACAAAATCATTACATTATTAATGGAGTAACGGTAGTGTGGTCCAAAAACCTGCTGAAAGTGGGCCAGATACATAGTTTGATGCCAAAGGAAACCTGGATGCCACCTGGAACAGTATACAGCATTCACCATTTTGTTCAAGGCAGCAATTCCTCTCAAATAAAAGCAGTCTAAGTAGGTTATATGCCATTCAGTGACATTTTTCCACGTAAACAGTGTGGTACAGAGGAATGGAAGAGTTCATAGTTAGGCAGTAGATAATTGACTGCATCTGTATATTACAAAAATTTCAGCACCGGCAGTAACTGCACTATATTCTTATTTTAAACAATTGCCCATTTTAAATTGTATTTGTTCAGTTGCATAATTTTTGAAAAGATACTGAAGCAGGACTGACAGGCATGCTCTATATCCTACATCAGTTTGCCTTCATACTGGGCCGACAAAAAAACAACACAACACTTCAAAACACTCTTAGATCAGAGTACCTTAATGAAGCAAGCAAGCAGCATTTCCTTACATAATTAGCAGGGCAGCTTCCCCATTGCCCAACAAAGGCAGAGACTTTTCAAGCAACGTGAGCAAGTCAATAAAACATTCAAAGTATTCTGCAGTGCTTAAATAAAGAGACATTACTCCCAACATTACATTGGAGATCAATTAAGTTTATTTTTTTCTAAAAGCTATTTACACATTTACAAACATTTGTATTTTACAAAATAGTTATACTAGATAATTTTTAAAACTTTTTTTTTTTTTTTTTTTTTTTTTACAAAGGCTACATAAGCAACTACACTGACGTGTCAAAAAGAACAGTTAGTTAGCTCTTGGAATATTAGCTAAATACCGATCCTCAAAAGACACAGCTAAGCTAAACAAAGTGCAAGAATGACTAAAAGAAAGACCTGTTTCCAAGCTGCCGTGCTCCTGTCAGTAGGAATTCCAGGCCCATAAATGAACTACAGCTGATTACTGCTAACTGCTCACCAGTACTGACCAGAGTGGAAATTCCATGGCTGGACCCATTCACACGAAGGGCTGAAGGGCAGAGGGCAGGTTGATTCTAGAGCAGTGACACGACAGCAAGGGCTGCTGCTACATACAGCCCATCAAAGGCTGTATTTTTATTTGGCTACTAGAAGAACTGAGATGTACATTCCAGCAGAAGTTACCATGGAACATCAACATGAACAGTGGTGGGATGTGTCAGACCTAGCAGAACTCAAAAGCTCTCTGGAAAAAAAGAAAATGTTTAGGAACAAACTGACGTTAGAGAAATAAGGCAACAAAAAGACAAACTTTCTGGTCCAACACAGGCACCACACAAAGGACACGGTCCACAGCTTTTAGTGTCTCTCAGCAGCAGGCTGATGCTGCTCTAGAGCTAAGCATGACTTTCCAGAAAATAATACAAAGACACTTCCTTGAGGCTACAGACAACATAAGGCATAAAAAAATAGGATGGACATCTCTCCATGACAACACTGATAAGGTCAAATTAATAGCTAATTTTGCAAAATAATGTGGCAAAATGCACCCCCTTTCTCCCAGTGCCTAAGGACACAGTTTCTCACCTATCTGACACCATCTCCCTCTACTCCTCTGACTATAGAATTGTCAGTGCAATATTCTTGGAGGTATCAAATCTTGATAACTGAGAGGAAGCAAACGACAAAGATATTTGGCAATAATTTACTGGGCCACCTCCATTAATTTCTTTCCTTATTTTAAAGTACAGTTTAAAACCATTACTTCCATTTTGCTTCACAGCAGCATACTACAGGCAAATTTTACATCACAGTTCAGTTGGACTAGCCTGTAAAAGCAGGTAAATAAGTCACCCTTTTCAAGATTGTAATGACTAAGATACCTATTAACACCGAATCTCCTCTATAAACTGCCCTTCCTTCCTCCAGAAGAGCTTCCAAGTCATTTGTTAGACTAATACTGCAATCTGTAATTTTAACATGTTCATTTTTAAGACATGCATTTTGTGGCTTTGGGTCCCGTCCTCTCTATTTGTATCAACAGAAGTAGTGCTGTACATTCTGTAGCTGGTTCTTGTTTGTTTTGTTTTACAGAATTAGCTAAATACACAGGGTAATAACTTGTAAAATAATCTTATGGCACATTAGAAGAGCACCTCTGTATAAGGATTGCATGGCAGGAATCACAGACACGAACAGGCTTTGGTGAGGAAGGCAGAGGCAGTTCGTTGTCGGAACAAGCATTACAGAAGATCTCACCACAGTTTCTACAATGGTGCTAAATAACAGGGAGAAGAACAGGAAAAAAAAAATCACAAAATCAAAAATATACAGCAGAAATATACTTGGTAATTGGGTATCAATAAATCACACAGAGAACAATCTGAATTCTTTCCAATCGTTTGGTCTGGGCATGGAACCAGTTTTCAAGAGATAATTCATCTAAACCCAAATTTATGGTGCGATCCTAGACAGACCAAACATACAAGGTTTGAATCCCTAGAATAAGACAAACTAACGTGCTTTGCCAATTAAGAATATAAACAATGACAATGGATGAGAGTCTGTCAAGCAGCTCTTAAAATTTAACATAAGAAGTAGGTGAAATAAAAATTTCTGCATATGTTAATAAAGCTTAACAATTAACACTGCTTTAAAGCCCCAATAAGCTCATAATTTCTTAAGTCTAATATATATTTAAAAAAAAAAAAAATGTACTAAGACTTCCATGTGTCAAATTTTAATGGCGGAACTGCAGCCAAGTACATGAGACAATGATTCCACAAGGTTGGTTGAGTAACTTTAAGTACGGTCCTCCACAGCACTACACTAAACAAGAACATTTCTTTTGAAAGTAGGGCCCGGTTGTTCTTTGATATGAGTAGCACATCTCAAAGAATATCTATACATTCATCTGAAGGTTGACATTTCATGCTGATCTCATCTGTAAGATAACTGACATATTTCTCATACTACATATAAATGAGCTGGAAGAAATTTCATTTGAGTTTTACCTTCCTTTTGGAAAGTGAGAATTCCTTTTCACATAACTTGCAATGCGTAGCCTCTTTGTCCTTCAACCAAACCTGTCCCTGCAGAAAAAATAAATGACCATAAATACATGTATGTGATAAAGGTAAACTTTGGGTTCAAAAGGACAAAACAAATCAATAGGAGTAATATTTACTGCCTGAATTGCTGAACGTCCTGAGACCACTACAGTGTCACGTAGACACTCTGAGGCAGGACAAGCTTGCTCCAAAGCACTGCTAACAGCGGGAATAGGTACAAAGAAGACACGCTGGAGGCACTAAAGCTAGCCTATGGCAGAGCTGGGAAAAACAGTAAGCTATCCAAGTCTCAAAGCTGAAACCTATTTCCCTGCTCAATGAAGGAATATGTGAACTCACACATCTTATGATCAAACATATGCAGACACAACCTCTGCTCTCAAGATGCACAATGCTCAAGTTCCCAGCCTTTCAGCAGTATAGTTCCTATTTGCATAGACTTCTGGATGATCAAATATTTATTTATAGTTAACAAATGCCATATTGGTGCCCACATACACGGTCCCAAACACATTTTGTAAAATAAAAGGGTGCACCTTTGCAATAAAATGTAGCAAAATGTGTAACTTTATATTAAACTGAGTATTCTCTTTTGCTGAGTCTACAGGAAATCTGTGCTTCCCTCCCACCAGAATATAATAAAATGAGTCTCTTCTGAATAGCTGCTGTTGAAGAGAAGCTTTTTCAAGCTTGCAAAACATTTCAATGGGAACAGTAAACTCCAATGTTTCTTTCCTCCAAATCCTACCAACCTGCAATGCTTTGTTCGCTTCTTTTATATCTTCTATTTTCAGCTTGGATCTAAAAAAATAAGATAATATTTCAAACTGTTATATTTTCACTTGCAGTCTAAAAAACCTTGCAAGGTTTAAGTATTTAAAAATTAAGTGATGTATTCTGAACTTAGTATTTTACATCACAGCAGCATCTAGGAGATATACTAAGTACTACACAAAGACAGACTCTGCACTAAGAGCTAAGAATCCCTGAATGCAGGTATGTTTGAGGTTATGTGGTTAAGGGCACCAGACAAGCACACAGCATTGGTGCAAACTAGGAATTCAAACTTCTGGACTGTCTTGCTGGGGAAACCAGTCTTCCCACAGCCACCCAGTGCCACTCAGAACTGTCTAAACTGCAACATTGTACAGGGCATAAAAGCCCACAGCAGTCATGGCAAAACAATTTATAAAGCACATCCTTAAGTGAAGTAGAGAGATATGGAGAACAACAACTACTGTGCTCACAGCTTATTGCTCACCATAGTCTGAGTGGGTTTTGATAAGGTAATCTTTTACATAGCCTGAAGATGTAGCAATAAACAGTGGTCTAAGACTAAGACGAGAATCCTCATCTCGTTAAAGAAAGGAACCCATGAGCACGCAACCTCATAAAAAGATAAGCACTATCTTGTTGAAGTATAAGCTGTTATCTTCTACTTGGATTGTTCTTTAGCAAAACCAAGACATGCAAACTAGTCAACTACTTTCAATGCAAAAACACCTCCTAAAGCCCTGCAGGCCTTAAGATCTAGCTAAGATTTTCTTTCCAGAACACTAACTGCATATGAGGTCACAGGCACAAACCAAAGAGAAAAATCAACACATTTCACCTAACTAGAAATATTTCCTACTGATAACTGGCTTGGTAATATTGCTTTCTACACAGTAGTTTGCATGATGGCCATCCTATTCTTTTTCTTAACTCATGTTTATGAGACAAATATAATCATTCAGGAACAATGAAATTACTCGCTCAGCTTGGATGCCAGTTCTTGGAGAGCAGCTTCTTGGTCCTGACATATCCTTTTCAGTTGCCTGTTCTTTTCCTGAAGTTTAATGAACTCCTGAAAAAAAAAAAAAAAAACCAAAACCATATATATATATATACACACATACATACACATACACCTAATGCCTAGAAAACTGGTCCTAACCAAAGCTGATCTTACTGAGAAAGCCAAGCGGCTGGATGACTCATCACCCTCACTATAAAGATTTCCAAATTGAATTCAAGCAGCAACACTCGAGATCACACTCTCTTAGGCCGTAAGAGATGACACCTACTTGCTTCTTCAGAAAGCAAACACAATTCACTGCAGACATCAACAGCACCATGTAGCCACGCGCACCAAGTTAGAGAGAACCTGCAGCAATTTCTGGCCTAACACAAGAGGACAGAGTCTTCAACAAAACTGAGAAAGAAAAATAAGGATTCTGGTTTTCTTTAGCCAAAGGACAGAGTTTTGATTTGAAGAAGAAAGGAGTAAAAAGAGAAACAATGTTTCCAATCTTTTTTCTTATCTACTTGTGAGAATACATTAATCTAATCTTTCTTATCTGGTTGCAGAAATTCTTAGAAGTCCCATGTCTAAGTTCATAATTAACTTTTCAGTTAATTTCCAAGTTACTATTCAAGTTTTATTGCAGAACTTACTTTTTTAAGGTTAATTATTTCTTGAGTCTCTATTCGCAGATGAGATACAGTTTCTTTTTCCTTTTGAAGGTCATCCTCCAGAGTTTGCCGCCATTCCTTTTCTATCTTCAAATCTGTTTCAAGCTGGAGCCTAAAATATGCAAAACAAAGAACACAATCACTGTGCAAAACAGTATCACTTTAAAACATAACAAAAAGAAGTTTATTTCTGGATGCAACATATTGTTGCCACAATAAGCAGCCCATCAGCTGACCTGTTTTTTAAAACGGAAAAAAATGCAGCAATGTTGCAACATTTCAGACATGGTAATAGTTAAAATGTTACCACTTAGAGAGTGCTTTTGAAAAGAATCACATTTAGAAGGATCAAGACTGTGGCAACATTTTGAAAAGCTGACCTTAGTAAGCAACAGAAGATCAACCACAACATTCTCAGGTGCTTTTAATTTGTGAATGAAGGGAAGCCCTTCCTCTTAACACTACATAGTTTGTTTCTAAAATAAAAAAAAAAAACAACCATAGTGTCACTGATGACACAAAGAAGGACTGCACGCATCCCTGGTGCTCATAAAAGTTATTTAATATTATGCTTTCAGGTGTTAATCTTTTTGTCTAGACTAAGGCTTATGGAAATTTGAACAGAATCAAAGATAAGGAAGGAAAGACTTTAATGTGCTATTTTAACTGAGCTTCCTACATTGCTGAGGTTCAACATGAAGAAGGATCCAAACCCTATTAGTTTAACTGAAATCCAGCCATTGGCACAAGGATTATTCTGACGCAAAATCACTCCAGCTGGAATTTCATTATCATGGAAGAGCTGGTGTTTAGAGTGCTACAGAGCAAACAGGACGGAAGCACACTGCTCAGCCTTCTACATCTAAATCTTGACAAATCAACAGAAAAGGAAAAAAACTGAGAGTTGTCATGCAAGGTTCTTTTGATGGAAAAACTTGTAGCTACGTTGATTTTCCTGTTTGTTTGTTGTTTTTTTGAAATCAAAACCATTTTTAAAGGAAAGACTTACATTTGGGACACTACCTCAGCACCTGGTTGGAAAAGATCAGAAGTGAAAATGACTTTGAGGTTTCAGAATTGCAAAATTCTGAAGTAGTAATAATAATAAAATAAGGTTGGGGTCTGAACTGTTCTTTTGCCAAAATCTGCAAAGATGACTGCAGCAGTAAAGTGAACATTTGTCATGACAGTTAAACCAGATTACTGACATTCAGAGTTGTAAGGGAGGCAGGATGGGCTAGTAATCAGATTGGAAATCACTATCTTTTAAGCTCCAATCTTTGTGTCACAGATCTGCCCTATCTTCAATAACGTAGCTGTTATCTGCCAACAGGATAAACATCTGCCCCTCTGCAGGGAGCTTTTTACAGTAGATACCTATTTAGATCACTAATGAAGAACTCACCAAGAGGAAGGGAGAGGGTTGGCTTTTATGTTACATTTTATTATTTATAATTCCCATGGATTATTTTTTTCTGCAGTGGCAAATTAAACAATTTTTAAAGGATTTTACCTTATTGATAATCTTGATCAATTAAACTATTCTCACACCATTTCTCTTCAGGTTCACACTATTACACTGTTGTGGGCTTTATTAAAAGTGTGGGTTACTGCTACTATACTAGATATTTTCTCTTGCTTACAATAGTTTCCTCATGAAGTAAGCCAGCACCTTTAGACGAAATATACTGTAGCTCCTCCCCCTCCTTCCAAGCTGCACAGCACTTCAGAGGTGCCCAAAGGTAGCCTGACCTTCTTGGAACAGCGTACTTTCTTCCATCTTGCCAGTAAGCAACATTAATATCTTTAGTATTTACATTCTGTTCACAGTCAGTTATCAACAGCCAACTTGTATGAATGCACAAAACATTACTGCTGAATGTTTTTTCAAACAGAAGAGATATACTTACAGCTGTTTCTCCTTCTGGGAGAATTCTTTCTGCAGACTTTCAGACTTATTCACATATTCCTGTTTAAGTTTCTCATCCTCATTCTCAGCTTCCAATTGAGCCTTCTCTGCTTGCTGCAATCTGGTGTAATTCAAATCAACTTTGGGTAAAACTGAAGCTAGAATTAGGGTGTAGAGGGTGAAGAAGACAAATAAAAGAAAAATGGGGAAATAGAAACATTTCTAAATAAAAACAAAGTTTGGGGGAAACTTACAAACTCAAACGAGAAATCCATACAATGCCTACAGATTAGCTCCTGTTTTTCATACAGTCAGAAAGCGATCACTGTAAGTAATCAGGATTTTTATTTTATGCTAATCGATAACAGATGCCAAAGCATGACGATACATATTTTAGAATTGCAGCATATATCTTAATGCTTTTTTTTTCCTTCCTCTTTAGCATATGTTTATGTGTTATTTTTGGAAGCTTTTTTTTTTTTTAATAGCCCCAGCAGAATCCCTTTGCTTGTACTTATCACCCAGGGCAGGACGTGTATTGTGCAAAAGCAGCTCAAAACAATTCAGGCATAAGGCTGAATACAGAGCACTGCAATCAGACAGCAAAACACTCAACTAGCCTAACACAACAAGACATACCCCAATAGGTCCCACTACATTTGCAGAACTACTTCAATTACATCACATCTGTAAATGTAAACAGTCTGTATTAAAAATAATGCATTCTTACATTAATTAAAATAGCTCCATACTACAGACAATTTAAATAAAACTGATCAGTCAAGAAGTGAGGGGCTGTTTTTTAAATGTAATCTTTCCTTTCTGAATGCCAGGGGTTTGTTTCTGCTTCAGGTACCAATGCTCTTGGAATCCATTAGCCCATTCCGGTCTCTCTCTGCTTTACCACTTCCTCAGTCCAAAAAAAGGTAGGGGTACTGTTACAGAAGTAAAGGTGCTAAGACAGAACTTGTCCTATTGTGGCTATACTTGCCCTGAAGAAAAGGCAGGAAGTAGAAGTGCCTGTAAAATATTACACTTGTAAAATAGTCCCCACCTGCTGCATCTTGTTTAACAGAAATTCTTCAAGTGCCCGCTCAGGGAAGTGGGGCAGAAATCTCTGATTCATTCTGTGCTTGATTTCCCAATTACCAGCAGCTAGCTGAATGCAGAGTCAACTCACAGCTCCCAGTGTCAGATAAGAAGTTATCAAGTCAGCCACATGTCTACATTTGTGCTTCAACTGATAACGTTGCCCTGGTGGAAATTTCCGAAAGCTGCTAGCAAACAAGTGATACAAGCCTAGAACTAAATACTTCACAAAGCGTGCACTGTCCCACTCTACTATACCTGCTGTTGTGAGCATCTTCCCAGACACATTTGCAGTGATAGAGCACACAGGCCCAAACCAGATGTCTGGAAAGGAGTATTCTAGGACAAAGCAGGGCCAATTAACTGGACAAAAGACACTACATCAAGCTGCACAAGTCTCTAAGTTACAAATTAAACCACAGAGCAGTTTGTATAACCAAGGTAGAAAGGGGGTTTGCTGCCCAAGGAACATGCCAGCCAACCCAGGCTACAGCATTGTATTCTAAACTAGCACCAAGAATGACAACACAGCTGCAGTGCAGACAAAGGCTGAGTGGGACTGAAGTCTGCAGCAGGATTTTAGATTCAGATGACACTGACAGATAGATACTTGTTTGCATAGAGTGACTGTGAGATGGTTAATGTTCCCATTTCTGCTACAGCCTATCCTTGTTTTATTCACTGGTTCTGTTTTTTTCGAGGCAGGGGGATATTCCTTTCTCTCTTTTTAACACAAAGATGGTGTTAAAGGCTCTTTCTGGTTCTTCCAAAGCAAGGAATAAGATTATATATAATCATGCAGCAGAAACCCTTCCTGTATTATGGTGTTTTGCCTCCGCTTTTGCAAATATTCCTTCCTGCTGAAAGACTCAAAAGATTCTTTTCCAAGTCAACTCCACGTTTGCTTTTCAGAGGAAACAAGGGGAAGTGCATCAAAGGCAGCCAGCAGCTAAAATCCTTATTTCAGCAGCACAGGCAAGCAGCAATTCAATGCAGAAATAGGATTTGTAAAGACTGCCTAGCGATGGGTGGAGAGGGAAAAAAGGTTGGGCAAAACCACGGGTTAGGATTACAGTACTGACACAGCCACTGACAAACAAGTTAGACAGGTACCCTACATATAAATCCCATCTATTACTACTGCTGCCACTCAAGCTGTCCTGGAGCAGCAGAAGTAAGAGCTACAGCCACATCATTCTCTAGGCCCTGCTGCCCTTTCTGGAGCCCTAAGTCCAGGCTCCAAACACAGTGTGATCCATGAAAATTTGCTACTCTCCATCACATCAGGAGAATGGAATTGTGCTGTAACTGCTTTATTCTCAAACCCTGGAATTCTTCTACCGTACGTACCGAATGTATGTTTACACCTCTTCCCTTAAAGCTACTACTGTGATGCAGCACTCAAGCCCCTTTAACCCTTTCCCCAAAAGCCCTGTTCATGCTGTTCAAGAAAGCAGTGCTAGTCACAAGTGGAAAAAAGAAATAAGAAAAAAAAACGAGCAGAGAGCTTGCTTTTGGGATAAATATAGCCCTGGAAGCGAAAGAAACAAGCAGAGATGAAGAGAAGTACTACTCAGGGCAACTTTTAAAATCTTTTAGTGCCATAACGAACAGGAAAAATTGCCAAATAAAAAACAAATGTCAGCAGTAAGTATAGTCCAAATGAAGATAGTTGATAAACTTTTTGACAACAGACAAGTGAATAAATAACATTAGAAAACTAGCATACATTTTCTTAACAGTAGTGCAATAATTTCTGTTCTCTCTCTTTCTTTTTAGAAGAGGAGTAAAGCCAGATCAGAAATGATGATCTTACAGAACACAAAACAGAACCCAGCTACAATCAGTTACAGTGCAGGATTTCTAGTTCCACTTTCTATGTCAAATTGTCACTTTACAATTCTGAAGTTGCATTTTATCAGTAATATTTAAACAGAAGAGAGCTGGAGGAGCTTTCAGAATGATATATCTTTGACAAGCTTATACTGGTGCTGAGCTTCATTGCTGGCACATTTGACAAATGACATTGCAATAGTCCTAGTTTGAGTTAACAGATCTTTGTCACTTCACGAATGCAGCGGACAAAAATCAAAGACAGATGAAGGCAGCAAAATTGTAAAAACAAAAATTAGGATAAAGGATAAAAGAAAAAGAAAAAAGAAGAAAAAGGATGTCAATAAAAGAATATTCATGTCACTAATTATTTTTTTTTAATATATAACCATGTTTTTAATAATCAAATTTAAATGAAAAAAAGACATGTCAAACACCAAGATGACAGTGCTTATGGATATTATATTCTACAATACAGTCTATTGAAGAAGACCAGTGTTGCACGTAGGCCACTAAATTAAACACATGAATCACATTTCAATGCTACGTTATGCATGCAGTCTAACGACAACGGAAGTGCATATGGCAGATTTTTAGTCTTTCACTTTTCAATCTTTCAGTGTAAAAATTCCCTATAATAAAAATAAAAGTTGCTAAAGCAACTGAATGATTTTCAATAGCTTCAGCAAACTCAGCAGTGATTCATTAAGGCAGTAAATGCTTATATCAAATAATCTTGCTTATGGAATAAGCAACATCAATGCTTTGGTTACTATTGCATTTCATTCAGATGGAGAAAAAAACAAAAGCTAACATCGAATCCACATTTTTAACAGCCGAAATAACAGCTTTTGCTATTAGCACAAAAACTGGGGAAAAGAAGAAAGATAGCAGACAAAGAAAAATGAAAGATTAAGTTTTCACTTAAAATAAGTGCATTTGCTAAAAAGAAAAACAAAAATCAATCCATAAAGCACTAGTTACAGTTTCAGAAATTTTCCTTTAAAATTTTCTAGTTTAAAGTTACATTTCAGTGGCAACAGTGTGGGAATGCAGTAAAATATACAGGGATGGAGAAATGAATGAAGGAAAACAAAGATGGATCTGTACCTTTGTTCTAGTTGTTTCATAGCAGCATTAATTTGATTGGTCTTATCCTCTAATCGACCAATTATTTCATTCTTTTCTTTCATAGCATCTTCAGAAACCTGGGTTACAAAGAAGGTCAAAGACAAAGTAGTTTTGCACTGTTACTCCAAGGAGACTTTTTTTCTCCTGAAAAGAAAAACTGTTAGAATGGTACTGACACTGAATTTCACACCTAGCAAACCTGTAGTTTACTAAGGAGGAAACTTTTTTGTTTGCTTTCTTAATCATTTTGTAAGTCAACTTCAATTCACTGATCACCTTTTTAAGTTGTTCATTAGACCCTTACCAATAACAAACCAAGATACTGAGTCCTGGAAATGACAAAGGTTCTCTGTTACCAGACTTCACCTAACGTGCCTGCAAATATTTTAGGAATTTTCCTACCATGCTGTACAATTTTGATTGCTTGCATAGCTGTCACAATCCCAGCTGGAAGACCCAAACACAAGGGTGAACTTCACCCTCACAATACAGATCAACACTATTAATGGATTCCTGAACATGAAATTGGGCATGATTAAACTGTTTTACCTGTTTAGTTGACTCAAAAATGAGAATGAACATTATTATATAAAATCACCTTCCCTAGAAGCACAGCTTCAAAAAACAAAAATCTACAAGTCTTGATTACATTCCAATCTTCCTTTTCTTTCTATTTGCATTTCCTCTCTTGAAATCCAGCTTCCTCACTGCTTTCAGTGGAAAAATAACATCCTCTGTCCACTACCTTGCTTATCTCTCTGCAGCATTCTTATTTTTCCCCACTCACTCTGCCAGAATTTGACTGTTTTCTTCTGTTGTTTTTGATTATTTCTTCCCTAAATCAAACCTTCTGCATAAAGAATTTAATGCTCAATTTCCCTGGTGTTTTGTTAAATCAACATTGGGTCTCTGAAATCCATACTCTCCCAAAACATTTTTTTTAGCTTTGCACACTACAGATTTTCTTTATTTGTTAACAGCACACAAAATCTTGTTTCCAAAATGCTTTGCATTGCTTTGAATGCTCACATCTTCCCTTTAATATCACTATATGACTGCACCTTTTGTATTTCTCATTTTCCTTACTGGACAGGTCAAGGAGTGTGAACACCACTAGGTGTACAACTATTCTATTCCACATAAGAAGTTAAAAGGCCATGCTCTTATTTTTATGATTTGCTTTCCCATAATCTCAAGAAAATGAAGTGATGAAGTGACTGCCTTTAACAACACCTTGTGTTAAATCACACCAGCATCAGTAATGTTCCAAACAAACACGTTGACCTAGGAAGCCGAAAGAAAGCAGTAATTAGACAAATGGCAGTATCTATAATGGAAATGCATCTCTCTTACTGCTGTCGTTTCATCACATTAACAGCAGACCTTACCTGCAGCTTTTGGTACATTTCCATGTTAATTGCTTTAACTTCATCAAGCTGCTGCCGAAGGCCTATGAGCGTGTCCTGCTTCTCGTGGATGTCCTTCTCCAGTAACTTCATAGCAAGCTCTATCTCATGCTTCATGCTAACTTGAACTACCAGCTCATTCTCCATATCCTACAAAACACACAGACAACACAACACAAAATCCTTCACCAATTATGCAATGTTTTATCTACGTTTTAGAAAGACAAAAGCTAACAGAGCTGCAGCAACATCATTCCAACACAAAACTCTCTGTAACTGTGCAAAGCAATGATCTACTACAAGAGCATTACGCTCCTGTACTTAGAGACTTATGCTTGAAAAAAAAAGAAAAGAAATAAAACACTTTTGGATAAGAGAACTCGCAGTACACAATACCACATCATTTCTCGTAGATGCAGAGCTAAGTATTAATTTCAAAAATAGAGCTACAGGATTTCTATTTTTGCAAGAAAAACTTAACATACGTACAGAACATGCAGTGCTCCCTATCTAAAACATTCTCAAAGAAATTCTATTTTCCTTACTATGTTTTAGCAACATTGTTACAGAAATACTAAGGCACTGACTGCTTTTTTAGAAAACCTCTCCTTGTCTGCTGTTATGAAAACAACACTGCATTAAAGGCAGAGCTTAACCTGAGCCAAACCAAAACTAGAAATAATTATACACTGACTCGAGTATCATCCTTCCTAGAAATGCTGGGTCCTTCAATGAAGGAGCACTCACCTGGCGGAGCTGTGACTCCTCTCGAAGCTGCCTCCGTGCTTCATTGTACATCTCATCTAATCCCTGCCTGGAGTGTTTGTACGTCTGAAGTTCTGCTTCAACATCCACTTTAGTTACCTAGGAGGATATGCAGAATCTTTGTTCATTACAAGTTTAGCCACTAATGCCATAAACTCCAATCATGGTACAAACAGGAAAATAGCTTCTGTTTCTGCTTAGTGGTCATCAGTTTTATGAGAACTGAGTAAACTAGCAAAATAAACTGTACTACAGTATGCCTTATCCTTCAGTCAATCCAAAACGCTGCTGTTTCAATATTCAGCAATCCAAACACACAACAAATCTGTACTTTTACCTGTAAAGGGTGTTCACCTCTTATCCTGTACAGGGATTTACAGAAGGAGATACAAATTACAGCTTAAAAAGCAATTGTACACACATTTATTCTAAATGATGTATCATTCTTTTAATAAGAAAGGTCACAACACAGTTCACCAGCCAATACACTCTATTTTGACAAGATTCTCAGATAATACTCCTAGATGCCCTTAAGATGCAGCTTAAATTAAATATACATATATATATATATATTTTTTTTTTTTAAATACATATATATTTATAAAACAACCTAGAATCCTGTACCTTCAACTTATTTAAACTATTATAAAGCTTCCCAAATCTAACAGGTTCTTCCCATTAAAAAAAAAAGAGCTGTTTTAAATTTGGCCAACTAACGGTTTCTTCAAGCTGCAAAGGAAGGAAAGTCAAATGACAACGAACCACACTATATTAAAGTAAAACTGCCATACCTCTAGATGATGCTGTGTCTTCATTAAGATCAGAGTATTTTCACTTCTTAATTGATGATTTTCTTCCTGAAGTTTAATTATATTGTTTTTGGCTATTGCTAACTGTAATAATGATGAAAAATAACAAATAGAAAGTGAGCACTGTTATAAGCGGGGAAAAAAATCAAAGCATTCTGATGAATGTGAGACCAAGAATGCTCTGCCCTGTTCCTGCAGCCTAACAAAGAAAGGTTTAATTCTTAACAGCATGCATATCCAAGATACTTCATTACTTTATGTCTGACAAAGAAAATATGCTTTCTTTTCATAGTTTCATTATGATTCAACGAGCCTCAATCCCCTTTTCTCATCCTATATTTTTCTCTTTCTGTTTGAATTGAAATATATCCAATTTTGTTCTTTCTGGACAACTTAATATATCATATGAAGCAATTTAAATAAGAAAGGCTCTCCCAGACGTAGAGAAAACATATATACAGAAAACATTATAACTGGACCCTTTATTATATACCCTTAACATTGGGCCTACAAGCCAGCTGATCAGAACAGATGGATGGCTAAAGATGATGGTTTGTAAAGGAGACTGAAAACTCAGAGAATTAACACTCAGGACAAAAAGTTTTCCTCTCTCTGAACGCATGAGCACCCACCGTAAGCTAGCTATTCCTTCCACAACTGAATTCAGACATTCACAGTTTCCACCTCATTCACTATTTCTCAGTCAGCTTGTGTTAAAAAGAAAGGCTCTCACTCTTATAAAGCTAAAGAATTTAGAATCTAGTGAAGTATCAAAGGTAACCGAAAATATAAGAAATAAATGCAATACCAGATCCAGACAAATGTAAAGACTGCATATGGTAAATAAGCAAGCAGTTATTCAGCTAATGCTGAGAACCGTAAGAGAAATTGCTTACTGAACCACTTTCTGTCTGTGTATCAACTGGTGTCATCCATCAAGCACTAATTGGCTGCACAAAATCAGCCTGACAGCTGGCCTGAAGAAATGCTTACTTTCTGTTGCTGACCCAAGTGGGAAGTTGTTATGCTCTGTAGAAATCATTTACTGATGCTGCATGCTACCTAAGCAAGCTGACTGCAAACTCCTGCAGCTACTGCACCTTTTCTTCAAGATAAATTAAAAACATCTGAACATATTCTAGACTAAAATAATTTAAACATCTTTATTAAAGAAGTGTGATATCAAAGCACATGTATTGTATGTTACTAAAAAATAATACCTCTTCAATCAGTTTAGTGTTTGACTTCTCTAACGAATCAACTCTTGCATGTAGGCTGCTAACTGTGCTACTGAGAGAGAGAAAGAAAGAAACCATTACTCAGAATTCTATCAAAACCCACTTAACCAAGCTCAAAAGCTTTCTTGTGACATACAGTCATTAACCATTAATAAGAGCCAAAAGATCTTCTCCCATTATTTGAGATTTTCTTAAACAGAAGGAAATCACGCTCCTCTGACAAATGTTTATATACTTCTGCCCAGTGCTCAATGTCATCCTGGTCACTTGAACCAGTTTTTGGATCATGTTGTACCCAAATGTTTAAGGAGTTTGCTTAAAAATGGCTTTGCAATCTTGTTTTCCCAGCCCCCCAGCCCATATATAATGAAAATCATGCTCTGGATTCTCTTTCTCCAAAAATTCATTTTCCTTTATAAATTCATTCGTCTTTTATAAAACCATCTGTTTCTCCACAGTTTCTGATACTATTCTCAGAGTCCCTCCTTCTTGCTGCTTCTCGCCTTAATTCACAACACTTGTCAAAAAAAAAAAAAAAAAAAAAAAAAAGACATCCTTTAACCAGAACTTCTCCATCACCTGACAGCCCATCTCTGCTCTAAGCATAATTTTATGCTGCCCTTTCTGCACTGAAAAAAACACCTATCCTGAAACACCACTGACTTTCCCACCTATTTCTGTGGTGGGGTCTACAAAAGCCATCAGTGTATGAAGAATGGCAAGGTAGAGGAAATTGACACATTTCATGATGTGTGAAAAGAAATAACCAACCTTAAAAACGAAGAGAGCTGTTGAAGCATTGGTTTGCAAGTAACTTTGTGCATAAACCAGTGTACAGTAACATACAGCAGCTCTCACCTGAATGATGACAGCTATTACTAAGCAACCACCCCCATGCTTAACTGTGACAGTTCTTTTCTCCTCAATACAGTATAATTTTGCTTGTATTGGATGCCCAAAGATTCTGTGTCCTTTAGGACGGTTCTGCTCAGAGACTGACACTGTTTCAAATCAAAACATCCACACCCCAACTGCAGCCACATAGTGACCAACACTTGAGATCATCAGCATTACATGAATAAATATAATTGCATGTCAAAAAGGGACCAAGATCAACTACACTACAGATTCTACAGAGGGAGATCTGAGCAGTTTGGTTTTTTTTTTTGCCAAGGCAAGATGCAAAACGAAGATTCATCCACAACACACAATAATAAACTGACAATTGTTAAACAGACTGCAGTTAAAATGGTATTTCTGACAATGCACCCAGATCAAGTTTTTCTTTCATTTGAAGTTATAAATCCTGAACACCACAATCAATTTTGCCCTGCTATTTCTCTCTCAGAAGGTTCTGACTATCAAAAATAAAGCACGAAAACAATTTCCTCCCTCAGTCTTCCAAAAGAGAGACTTCTTTCAGCCTCTCTACATCCTCAGTTTAAACATGAAAAATATTCACCCATTTCCCTGAAGTTCTCTCTCACAAAGCTGTGGTAGAAAAGGAGGTAGAGGCATTTTACCCGTAAGCCTGAACAGACATGCATACTTCAAAGTAATACTTACTTCAGTTGTCTGTTTAGTTCTTCAACGTAATTCTTTTGGTCCAAAATTGCAGCAATCTGTTCATTTCTAAAGCAAGAAAACCATAAATAGAGCTTTAACAAAACGACATAGTGAATTATGTTCTGAAAACTTCAAATGCAAATGTTCACATTTTGTACTTTAAAATAATAATAATAAAAAGCAATTTCATCTCACAGTCTTGAAGTGAGTAACTTACATGTTGTGACAACAGTGAGAGACAAAAAAAACCCCACTGCTTTAATTGCAAATAACTTCTGTTTACTCAATCATAACTCTGGTTCTTTGAAATATGCTCCTTTACTCAGCTACCTTGCAATCCTTCAGTACTGTCCATCAAGGTCAGTGCAGTAGGTGAAGTTGCTTAGCTTGATCCAGACCACACACATTCTGATAACAAACCAGTAATAGGGAACAGTGTAGTGTGCCATTCTCCTCAAGACTGTGAGATTATAACATTCTGCTTTTAGGAAACTTTGGTTCTACAAAGGACAGCACATCAATCAAGAAATTATTTGTTAATATCCCAAATCTGAGAGATTTACGGAGGACATACCTTTCCTTTCCTCCAATGTCATCGTCACTCTTTAAATACATAGAGAAATCGATCACACCAACCTAGGAGCGAACAAATGTATACAGTTTCATATGGTGAAAGTAACTGTTGTCCACATTCAGGGTTTTGTATCCATTTCCCAAAACCTCGGTTACATCAGCTTTTCAAATGGTTTCAGTTTATTTAAGTGAAGTTCAGAAGAACTGAACAGCAACATTTTGAACCAACAGGCCCAGTCTCATTGATCTGTTCAAAATGTTTCCTTGGAAACAAAAACAAACCATGAACCAAATCCTTCTCAGTATGAAGAAATGATGACTTCTCAAACCTGAATGAGCTTAGCCAAGAGCTTATAGGAAAATTTCCAGTACTGCTGAACCTTATAGGTGACTGAGGAGGCTTGAGATAATTAGTCTGCGGTATTTCACATAACAATCTTTCACAGCACACCACCCATGATGTTTCTCCCATGCTTAACTTCTCAAAATTCCATGCCCAATAGCACTACCTCTCTGCACTTGCTGACTTCCAGGTATGCACACACAACTTTCCATTTCTACTTTTAAACTTTGCTAAATCTTAATCTTTACTTTCTATTCAACTGTAATTCAGTCATATATATCATAAATATTATCACCTTGAGCTCCGCTTCCAAATCTATTCACAGTTCTGTATGTAACTCATTTGCTTTACCAAAAGTATTCCTTTCTTATCTCTAGCACCATCATTACAATCATATTTCCATTTCTCTGATCTACTGCTTCTTTCTTCAGCTCCATTTAGCTTTTGCATACAAATAACTCACTACATTTCCTTGGATTGTACATCGTTCTCCCATGCATTTCCTATCATAGTCTTCTGTCTGTTCTTTCCACATCTTTTCTATAGTCTCTCCTCCAAAAACTTTTATTTAAACATATTTAGCAAAATATTACCTAAGTTTTCCTTTAATCCTCAATGTGAACACACATTTCTCCATTGAACAGGAATCTTCCAATACACCAGAAACATACTCCCAGATGTGATTCTAACCATCCTTTAGAAGTCTCTTTCTTCTTAATTCAGCTTACCACTTCTGGTTTCTCTGAAGAAAATGTCTTATTTATGCTACTCTTCACAAAGGAAATTCCTATAAAACCTCACCATGACATCCACTATTGCCTTCCCAAAATGAGTTTTCTCTCCCCTCATGGAACTGAGTGACCTAGATAGCACAGATGCAGCTAGCAATAGCTACTTTGTAGTTTATAACACACAGTAATTCTCAGTACTGAGGAAAGCACACTGATAAGGCTTCTACAGTCACATGCTTTTCTGTATTGTGCCTTCTGGTAGGTAATATCAGTACTTAAAACCTTAGAGAGTTACTAGCACGAACTCTGTTAACCCTATGATTCAAAGTACACAAAACCTATTAGCTAGAACTTTTCTTTGACAGAAAAATTGCTTTTTCAATCAAACACTTGAAATAAACAATTACCATTTAAACTACTCAGAAATTCTCCCAATTATCTGGCAAAAAAACAATCAGGGCTGAACACAACTAACACATGTTTATAAATACTTGCATGTATGCCTTTAAAAAGATTCCATCAAGATTCACTTAGAAAAAAATGGGAGTTGGAATTCAAAACAGCCTGCAAAGCACACAGAGCTCTACTGATACGCTACTGATACTGCTTTGTCAGCAGTCTCCCCCTCTTGTAAGGTCTTTTATTACACTAAGTGAAGCATGCTAGTTTTTCTTTTATTCACATTCCCATTGTGTTCCAACAATAAATGGATCAAACAGGATAAACTGAACGTGGAACAATGCCCAAAGAAAAGGATGAGCACAACTAGAACAGGAACAACTCTCCCATTGCTACTACTGCATCCATTTGACAATGAAACCTTTGCACTCTGGTGATTACCACCATCCAAAGGTCTGATCCAACTGATACTGAGGCTAACACAACATCCCATCTGACCTAGGATCATGCCCTGAGCAGTCTGGTCAGATTTCTAAATTCTCTGCACACAAAATGCTCGTTGACTGCACGCACGTTACTTTACCTGTAATGACTTACTTGTGAATCCAGGTCTTCACCCTTTACACAGAGGTTAGCATCTATTACATTTAGCCCAACCAGCAGTCCAACAATAACTGCTCCTTCTTCTTCCATCATCAGTGCATGATACTCATAAAATTCACTGTTACATAACAACACAATCTAAATTAGTACACTCTGTATACCTACGTGTAATAAAATATAATTATATTTTATATAATATATAATAATTATATATAATTATATAATATGTATAAGTGACTCTTGAATCTGAACTTTCTTTGATTCTCATCCTCCTCCAGCACTCTTAAACACTGCGCACATTTTGCTTCCATGAACGTTTAAAACTAGGAAGCACAGTTTGCCTCAGAAGCTATCCAAAAATACAGACAGACCCTTTGGATACAGAAATGTAACCCACAAGCTGGTGGAGGACTGGAAAGTTTTGGCAGGAAGACTTCTCTTGCTTTTAAATAAGGGTCTTCCCTGTATGCTTGTAGTAGCCACTCTGACAGAACTCTTGTGATAAAACAGTCTGGACATCAATGAAGACATACTTGAAATTAAATAAGCAATGTAAGAGATTAAAGGGTTTAAGAAAAACAGGAAGAAATGAAATTATGTAAAGGTTTTTAAAAGAAAAACACTCCAAGCCACAGAATATCAATATCCTCCTTGCATTCTCTAAATAAACTTTAGACCCTATGAAACAAACTGCTCATTCAGTGGAGAAGTCCACCACTGTTGACCATCAATGTCATCCTGACGCATCAGCATTATCTGAGGTAAACAACAATTCTTCAAAATATTCACAAGTGACAGAACTGAAAATAAGATGGTAAGTCCTTCTTTCCTTTGTGCTTCACTCAGCTCATCACAAAGGAGAAATTATACTAGAAGAAAGCAGCGTCAGATTTAGAACTGTGAAAGGAAGGGCAAATTCAAGTCAGTAATCCTCCACACAATGGCTGATTAGGAGGAAACCATGCACATGGTAAGGGTAAATTAATCTTCTCTCCACATGCTTCCAATCCACATTCTGCATGGCTGAGGAACACAGCAGGAGCCCTTCCCCATCACCTCATCAATGAAAGAGCAGTGAGGCACGCTGCAGATGATGGAGGGAGACATCTCTTCATCCATCAGCTGGCCCTCAGTCTTCATGAGACAACAGGGTTTGGTCTCTTGATCACAAGGACTGGAGGAAATCAGCCCAGATGCCAGAAGCCATGTCTTGTTTTTTTTGTTTTTTGTTTTTTTTTTTTTTTTAAGGATATATTAAAAAGCAGCAAATAGGAAACACTATTTTTCAGGAGACTACATGTATAAAAATAAATTCTAAACAAAATCTATTTACCTGAGAAGCTCTCTCTGAATGATTAAACAGCGAAGATAGTCAGCCATTTTCTTCTGCATTAGTGCCAACCGTAACCAGGCCCGGGCACGGCCCAGTGGTGTTCTGGAAAAAGGGGATGGAGAAAACAAACAGTCCAAAATCAACAATATATTGATTAATTTACTGTCTTGATTATCTTATCAGTCTACCGATAGAGCAATTAACATCTCTGAAACTATTCTGGTTTCAGAAATAGTTTTTAAACTACTGAACAACACAGTACAACTCTACACAACACACACCATGTTCTAACTTCAAGTTGTGTATCTTCAAAAATTGTGGTACCTTAATAAGATAATTCAAAGAAAATGATGGCAAATTTAGCTAGTAAACATTAATATCTAACAAATTAAACCTGAACGTTTTCCTGTAGGTATGCACTTACAAAGTGATGTGCACAGAAGTGGAAAAGGGAAAAAAAAAAAAAAGTCAAAACCCACATTGATATGCTATATCAAGATGGAAAGTACAACAAACATAACCAAAGGTTGATCATCAAGCTTGATACAAGAGTAAATAATAATTAGTATACCCATATACTTTAGATGAGGTCTAAAGCTAAAGCTTACAATCTTAATGCTAACCACATAATCACTCTCAATGTAAACGAGCCCTTTCAGAATTGAATATGCAGTCAGCTATACAGCTAGATGCAAAAGCAGAGTGCAGAGGGATGGAAAGAGACTGTAGCCTACAGCATAAATTCATATTCCAGAAGGATCCTGTGCTGGAGGATATTTCTATGAGAATCCAAAGAGCCGTCCCATTCTTTTCACTTCAGTATGGTACTTTTTCTTTTCGTTCAGAGTACGTATTTGCTACAGTTCTAGACTGTAGACTGTGATACAGAACCTATTTCTTTTTGTACTGGTTTTGTCCGCGGCTTAGAGAAGTTTTCTCCCAGAAATATCAGAAAAGCACACAGAATTCCCACTTTCGTAGGTCTTTCATGTGGAACATAAGTAGCAACAAGATCCCCCTGTGCACTCCCCCAGTATCTGGTGATAGCTGTTCAAAGGCTTGATTAAAGTCAAATTAAATAATGACAACTGTAGATTCTCATTCAGATCCTGTATTTCTTGCAGTATATTTTACCAACACAACTTACTTGAGGCCGGGCAAATCTCTGACACTCGCTGCTATTTCCTCAGCTTCTGGATATAATTTCTCCACAAGTTCCAAAGGACCCCAGATAGTTTTATTGTAACTTAAAAAGGATTTTCTTACTAGAAAACAAAAAACATCACTGAGTTAATTGAAATGGTGGAGCAGTTTCCTTCAAAAATAGCTGACCAGTTCGCCAGTGCCCAGTCATCTTACAAATTACTTTGCTGTGAACATTAAACTGCTGCTGCTAGAACAAGACAATAAAAAAAAAAAATGTCTAGTTACATGCTACACACATACAGATGTTGAATTCCTGGATCACTCACAATAAACAGTTTACAAAGCAAAAAGTTGGCAGATGCAGAAATGCAAGTTGTGAAGTACTAGTGACAGCATCGATTACAGAAGGAGAGAATTTACATACTTTACTCTCTTCTTAAAGAAATAGGCACACACTGAGATCTTATTCAACAGAGAAAGGAAGAAAGACTGCATGTTTGGGATGAGAAACATGCATCTAGAATAACCACCACACCTTTAAGGCCATGCTTCAGACAGTGCTCCATGACAACAAAGAACTGCTGCAGAGGAGGGTAGTCAGAATCCAGAGTACGGCCAAAGCTCAAAGCTGATTCAATGAGTCCTTTGATACTCAGTTTGGCCATGTTCAGTAAATTTGCTCTTTCTACAGCTGTTGGATCTTTTACAGCTAAGGCAAGAAAGAAAAAAATGTCATGGTTCAAGTTTTAGAAGGATGCAAAACGATGAAATGATTCATAGCTGCCTTGCTCAAAGAAAGCTTACCTTAAACTAGGTAAATTCAAAGGAATAATTCAGTAAGTGCTACAGGCCACCACGTCATAGAGAGGTGGATGGTCCAGAACAAACACCTTCACAGATCCTATGCTGTTGTAACAGGCGAATCAAAAATGGAGGCCAAAAACATCAGTTCTCAGTTACCTTGTTGTCCTTGCACCTCTCGGTAGCAGTCAGAAACAAGGTAGCATGATCATCAATGCTGTGCTAAAACGCTCAGCTGCTTAGGAGCAATCAGTGCCCTTACCACCGCATCTAGGAAGCATTCCTGCTTGGTATATTGTAGCATAATAGGCTCGCAACAGTTCTCTCCTCTATAGGATTATTCTCCATAGTGGCTCTACTATCCTTTACCTGATTAAAGGATATGTTTTCCGTTTGAGGCTGGAGCTACTCTTAGTGAGTAAATCTAGAGTGGTTTCATGAAAACATAATGTATGCACACTTGTTTTTTTCTTTACAACAACAAAAATAAGTAAAAATGAAGACCCAAGATCCTTGTTATAGATACAAAATATTTCCTAGGCAGAAAAAAAATCTAAGTGTAGGAAATAAAGCTTTTGCCAATAGTTCTAATTAAAAACACACTGTCCAGAATGTACACGAAAAAATTTATGTTTAGGGATTAAACCTTATCAGTAAGATTCCCACAGCTTTTCAAAGTCACTCTAATCAGACAGAACAGACAAGGTTCCTCTCTTTAGAGCTGCAGCTAATGAGAGCAGTATTCGGGAGATTCCTACTTCATTTTCACTCATAATGAAGCATCTCAAACACTCAGGCTGCCATCTATTTTACCAAATGGAAACATGAGGCAAAGCCACACTGTTCATTCACCAGGATCAAAAGGATTGGAAAGAAGGAAAAGAAGTTTATGATTTATTGCTTTCTGCTGTTTGCAATTAAATATTATATATGTGTGTGTGCATTTTCTTTATAATAGCCAGTTTCTCACTGGGTTACTCCAAAAGCAATCAAATCACTTGTCTGACTTCTTTAATAGCACCACTTTAGGCTTTTAGACATCAGAAGCTTAGAAAAATACCTTCTTAATGTTCTCTATTCCTAACTGCCCATCAAACACCAAAGTAGCACACAACCCAGCCTACCTCACTTCTTCTAGAAAAGCAGCATTGCTGAGGTAACGCACCTAAGACGACCTTAACGATTACTTCCACGTAGCCTCAATTTACAGGCACTTCAATAGAAAACAGTCACACAGCTGGCAGCACGAACAGCCGGCAAGGTGCTGAGCAGCCCCAGCCCTGCGAGAGCACGCAGCCCCCGGCTCAGCGCCAGCCCGACCCACCCGCACGGCGCTCTTTGCTTTCACGTGGCTGCTGAGACGCAACGCGCGGGCTGCACGGGCCGCCGGCGGCCGCTCCAGAAACACCGCGGAGGGCCCCCCGCCCCGCATACGGGACGAGCCGCGCCGCGGATATCGAGCGGTCTCCGCACCACGGATGCGGCGGGGTCCCGCCCGCGCCTCCCACCGCCGCTCCGCCCTCCTCTGAGACGGCGGAAAGCCCTCGGCTCCCGCGCAACAATCGCCCGCCGCCACGGCCCTGGCCGCGATGCCGCCCCTCGAAGCCTGACAGAGGACATTTTCTGCTCGCGCCCCCAATGCCCCGCAGCCCCCGGCCCGGCGCCGCTCACCCATGGCTGGAAAGGAGGAGGAGGAGCCGCCGCCACCGCCCCGGCCGCTCCCTGCACCTCCTCCCGCCCCACCCCACCCGCTGCTGCCGGAGCCCGGCCCCAAGTGCGCCCCCTGCGGCGGGAAAACCGCCCCCCACTGCAGCTCGCAGTTATCGCGATACTCCAGCCCTGCGCGGGATGTTAGCGAGCCTGGCTGTGGGGGAAGGAAGGCGCGGGCATTTCAGGACGGAAACATGCTGTTTCTGGTCACGCTCGTTTTTACTTTTAGAATTAGCCCAGGAAAGAGCAGAGCACGGAGGATTGCTCAAAACCTGGCATCACGGACTGTGCCTGTACGAGAAAGTTTCAGAAGTGACACAGGTCAAAGGAATACGAACCACTTGGTTCCTCGTTTGGTGGATTGAAACAACTACGAGCCCTAGGCAGAGCTGCAGCTAGGGAGAGCTGGTCCAGTTCCTTTCTTTCCCTCGACCTGCTCAGAAAAAGGAGTTCAGTACATCCGTATCACCCTTGTCCCACTTGCATGGAAAAACCAAGGGATTACAGAAATAAGCAAGGGAGCTTCAGCTGAGAGATTCATTACATTATATATATAAAAATTAAAATGTTCTGTACTTAAAAACAAAAATCAAAGACCATGAGGCTTTTTTCCCCAAACCACACAACACAGCATTTTAATTAGGAATGTTAATAAATGGGATTAGTGGATGTGACCTACATTTTAATGTGTAAAATCAAACTGAGCGCAGAGAACTCAGTAGTGGCTCAGTACAGCACTGAACTCTGCCCAGGCCTCCTCCTCAAACTTATATGGATGGGGGGATAAGCAGAAATGTGTTTACCAAAATAAAAAATGAGCATAGAAACAGCTAAACAGTACCTGAAGGAACAAAATACTTTACATTCCTGGTTTGTTACACGTCCCCTGGTTCTAAAAGGACCAACTCAACAATCAGTTTATTAAAGAAATGTGTATCGTTACTTTTACTGAAAGAAACATTTAAAATCATTGAAAATAATTTCAATCTGAATGAAGCCAAAACTGAACTGTGCATGTCAGCACTCACATTCCACTAAGCAATAATTTACATTCAGCAGCACCAGAACAAGATATATGAGAAATATCTTCTAAAACAGTCAGTCTTCACAATTATAAAATGTTACATTTGTGGATACCTTCATGAGCCCCTGCGGGAAGATTGAAGATGTAGGAAGTTAAGGAAGTAGCTCGTAAGCATCTTAGGGATGTGCTGCTTTCAGAAACAAAACAAACAGGAAGTGTACGAGTATGTACAGATGTCATCTGTAAAGAAAACAGCTAACTTTCCTATTTAAATAGGAGATGTAAGGAGCTGAAACAAGAACAGACTTGATACAGTGCCAGAGAGAATGAAGAAAAAGATGAACAGGTCACAGGTTAAACAATTTTCTAAGTTAGGAACCTTAATCCTGAAGCATTCTCTCAATAGGTATTTAAATAAATGGCTCTTCCAAAAATAGTCATCAGATGCCCTGAAACCAAGACAATCAGGAAAAAGAAAATGCAGAAAGCAAAAGCATTAAAAATGTACTCATCAAATTTTAAATAAAAAGCTATATCAAAGTTGATTTGCAAATCACCATGGAGTTTTATTTCTACTTTTCAAGACAGAATGGAAGTCCTAGATCTGCCTATTAGCTTGTCATCAAAGCCTGCTCCTGGCACACGCAGACCATGCATGCATGCATGCATACCATGCTGACAATTAGCATTACAAATATAATCTAAACGATCAAAGGTCTTCCCATTCTTACCTCCTATCCAAAGTAGTCTTACCTTCCCCCTTTCACAAAACAGTATTGAAAAAGGATATCATTGCCTCAGACTGCAGATGGCAGAGCAGCTTCTCCAAAGGAGGGTAGCGGCGGAGTGATGGAACGCAGCCCACCATGATGAGTTTGTGCTTGGCTCTTGTGATAGCAACATTGAGTCGTCTCCAATCCTTCAGGAGGGCACCAAGCTGATAAATAAACAATCTGCTTTTATTTTTCCCATGTAAGTTGCAGAATTAGAGGTGGATAATTTTCAAAATGTATCTAAGTTTAAGGTTCAGGATAGTTTTTAAAGTGGAATGAAAGTCAGGTTAGGATGAACAACTCACATTTTCATCGTTACTGTTCCTAACAAAAGACACAATTATGATACTTTTGTCTCTTCCTTGGTATTTGTCTATAGTGTTGACTTCCACTCTGCTCTCCTTCAGTCTTGCCATCAAATCAGTGATTATTTTCAACTGATGTCTGTATGGCGATATAATACCAATGTCTGAAGGCTTACAGCCAGCCTAAGTGAAGCAAAAACAGAAAACAGTCACTGTAGTTAACTTGTTTTTCTTTTTTTTCCCCAGCTGAAGAAGCCTGTAGGATTATTATTTTTTTTTTAAATAGTGTTGCAAGCTATCATCTCTGAAGTAAGAAATCAATGGAACTCTAAATGAGATTGGTATAAATCAAGGAAAATATTAATTACTGCAAGATCCCAAGCTTTGTCTTCACCTAGCATAGACAGGCATTCTCAAAATCCTCATTCTTCTTTCTTCTTCAGACTGGGAAGTCAATATGCAGAACTATTCATTAGTCTGCAGCACTCCTCAAGTTGACTAGATTATGGCCTCAAGTTGCTCTAGGGGAGGTTTAGGTTGGATATCAGGAAAAACTTCTTTACAGAAAGGGTTGTTAAGCAGTGGAATAGGCTCCCCAGGGAGGTGGTTGAGTCACCATCCTTGAATGTGATTAAAATCTGTTTGGATGTGGTGCTCAGGGACATAATTTAGCGGTGGGTGGTTAGAGTTAGGGTAGTGTGGTTAGGTTGCAGTTGGACTTGGTGATCTTTTTAGGTCTTTTCCAACCTGTGCAACTCTGTGATTCTATGAAATAAGGGAGAAAGGCAAATCCCTTCCCCTCCCCCTCACAAGAAAGCCCATCCTCATCTCTTAAAGAATTTAGCACTCAGCTTTTATTTCACCCCAAACTCCAACCAGGCATGTGACAGGGAATTGAATGCAGACTTCAGACCCCTTATGTAGCAGCACAAAGCCAACCATGAATTTACCCTCACAGTTATCCCACCAAGAATAACCACACACACATAGTCAGAATTTCCACAGCAACGTAAGATTAATTACAGAACACTCCCTCTTAAGCAACATTCAAGTAAAAGATACCTTAATGAATAAAGTTGTGAGGAAGAACACTAGTTTGGCTTCTGTCACATTACATACACCACCTTTTTCTGTGTGTTCTGGTGCTGGGACCTTTAAAAATATAAATGGGAAATAATGAGCATCTCTGAAGGTGCACTGTATTCTCATCCTTAACTCACTCTATCATACACTGTTTATGCTACTTTTTATTTTAAGGTAGGGGTAAATGCTAAATTCTACAGAGTACCTGTATCAGAAATTAACCTCAGAGCATTTACAAAGCATGCTGAAACAATTAGACAGAATTTGTTTCCAGTAACAGCCATTTCATAACTCCAAATTTCTAGTAAGAGCAAGTCACCTCAAGAAACTGTCAAGGCTCCATCATCTGATTTTACATCTATACAATACATATAATAAAAATAGACTTTTTGTGGTGAGGATTCTTTTCATTTTGCTTGACTGCTGTAATACATGAATCTTATATTGAAGACAGACTTCTACGTTTGAGATGGATTTTCTAGCATATAACAAAATTTAAATGGAAGAGAAATAAATGAACTTGACCTTTTCAGTGTTCAGAAAACATACAGGTTTGTCTGGCTCAAGTACTTCTTTCAACCATATTTTTGAAGCATCTGCAAGCTCCAGTTTCAGCATTTTTAGATTTGGCAAATTAGCAGTGGCATTTGACACCTTCTCTGATCCACATTCCAGTTTGCCTTCATACACTAGCTTGTTACTCAGTGACATAATTTTACTAAGGATGAAGAAGAAAGAAGTGGTATCAAATCTTGTAATTTCAATCTCATGTTTAAAAAAAAAAACAAAGGAAAACTACTGTAACAAATAAGTTTAACATACCAACATACCTGTTCATTCTGTATTGCACAGTCAACTGGACAACAGCATTTTGGTTTTGCTCCAGCCTTTTAAATAAACTTTCACTCATACCAAGATCTCTAGTACAAAGTAAACAATTCACAAAAGCATGTCAGACAACATACTGCAAAAGCCCTCCCAAAATTCATATTACTGGTACTTGTCCAGCAAATCTCACCTTGCTTCTGAATTCTGTACAAGTGGAGGCAGCTGCTGATGGTCCCCCACCAGCACAAACCTTTTGGAACAGAACAGTGGCCCCAGACAGATGGGCTGGCTTATCTGGGAAGCTTCATCAACTATACAGAAATCAAACTGCTTCTGAACAAAGATGGGGTGATTTATGCCCATGCAGGCTGTTGCTACCACTGGCTGAAAAATCAAGACACACTAATAAGAGAAAGCTTCAATCCCTGCACAGAACATTTTTCTGGTTAAAAAAAAAAAAAAAACAAAAACATTTAAATTAACTAAAGATAAAACCAATAAATTTTAGCCCTTTAAATCAATGCCATTCACACTGCAGACATATTGACCTTGTATTCTTAAAGTCTAGCAATCTTGAAATCTCACTCTTTCAATTAATTTACTTTGAAGTTGCCACCACCTGTTTCTCCAACTCTTTGGGAATTATTAAATGTAATTATCAGTTATTTTGTGTAAACATAAAAAATGCTTTTCAGCTTTTAGACTACTAGAATTAGTCATTCTTGGCTGTAATGAAATTGCAATGATGCAGGAATTGAGCATCTGTTTCAGCACAGATTTCTCCTGCCAGTAACACACTCTTGAGATGGGTTCCTAACTCTACAGCATCTGACCAACCAGAATACTAACATAATATGCACTGCAGGCCTTGCAGAAACACTTCTCTCACCTGACTGTTGTAGAGCTCTTCCAAATCCATTACAGATTTAATTGATTTGGACCTGCAAATTTCTTCTTCTGTAAATTTCCGTAT